AATTCAACAATAAATTAGTCACGATGCTTTTCAGGGGGAGGGGCAGAGAAAGTCAATGTATCGACTATGTTTTATTGGAGCGTACTCACTTTAATACGTGTAGGCGATATTATTAGATCAAATCCGTGTATTTTATTGGCAATATAGACACTTTTCACAAGCGTGGCAACTACTGGCAAACCGTCTCAATAAGGGGAAGCCTACGTTCGCCAATGGACAGTTAATGATTGATACGATTATGATGGACACTTTATATTTGAATGAAATTAGTGCACGATTTTGTGGAAACAAAATATGTTTTTCCAAAAGACTACAGCATGGGGTTCTTTAAAAAAGGAATAAAGAAATTTCTTCAGGTTCGGCAAAGCGCGCGTAATGTTCTAGGTACGCAGGTATTCATAGACAACGGTAACCGTTTACTATTAGGTGGGCCGTATATTTTTTTGCCACCTCAGTGGTATAAAAAAAATGTACAGTCCGTGTTATTCGCTGTCGACGCTGTGGCTCCATTTCTCTAAATCTATCTCCTAATCTAATATTTTAATTTGATAATTTCGCATAATCACTGTTTTATAAACAATCATAAGATAATTTTACAATCTTTTAGACCTAAATCTTTTAAAATTTTGGTTCATATTGGTTTTTAAAACAAGGATTTAGTTTTGATGTCAAATTGAAATTTCAATTTTAGAGATAGGTTTAAAGGAACCTCTACAGAATCGACTTCTACGTAGCTTTCTATAAATAACAAGAAAAAAAAATTGTTTACGTATTTTTTAAGTTTATTTAATTAGATGCACGCTGGCCAAGCCACGAGTTCTAGCTAATTTAAATTCAAACAAGTCTTTATTAAAAAAAAATACTTATTTACAAGCACTTTTAAATCGCCATTTTTTTTAAGAAAAAAAAAACATTCTTTTTGGTATAGAAAATTGTTATCTGTTGTGAAGAGCCCGCCAATTCAACAGTTATTCTTTATAATCTCTGTCAACATTATTTGTATTTATTTATATGTACTGTTTAAAATTATATGGTCAATAAAAACCTGTGCAAGATCGACGAATACCATGCACATTTGTCATTCAAGTAATCGTTTAGGTAGTGTGTAATTTTTGGCTTTATTTGATAAGTGATTTTAATAACAACTTGAAAGTTATTAAAAAGAACAATCTAATCAAATGAAATCATATTTATTCGCTTGCTACATGGATAAGAAGTTACATATACAAACAGGTACATAACACGCAGCACCCCGTAGAGGTATGCAAATGTTAAACTGTATTTAGTCTCTACATTAAATTACAGTTCTAAAGTCCAAACGTTTTTCAACTTATTCTTTATGTCAAACAAAATATCCTTCGGTATCTTATTATAACATTTAATGCGCATTCCTACAAAAGACCTATTAACTGTTTCTAAACGATACTTCGGAACAGCAAGTTTGAATTTGTATCTAGTGTTAAGATTATCGATTTCGCTGTTTTAAAAATAAAGTGGTAATCCAAAATATTATAAATTTGATAGTTTTTTCTTGGTACTATATAGTAGTTTGTACCTCCGTGCAGTCTTCGTGGCCGGCTGCAATGGTTCAACTCGGTTGAACTTGGGGGAAAGAGATTGTTAGTAATGGGGTCTAATAGCCCTATTACTGGCAATATACCCTCTCAGGTTGACCTCCACGCGGTTCCCCTTAGAAACCATCATGTTTAATTCTTGTCGAATTCATCATGGTGGACCAACTAACCTGCATTCATTCTCACCTATCATCTTCCACTGGTGCCTCGTCGGTGTCCAATAGCGCGGACGGGGTTACTAATCCATTTTCACCCATTAAAAAAAAACTCGGTTGAACTGGAGCTTGACGGTGTTTGCACAAATGGCAATTGGTGACCTACCTAAGGACTTGGACAATGTACAACTACTTTTATCTTTTATATAAACAGAATAAGCTTTTACTCGTAAGTCCGTCCGTGTTAGCGGGATATGTTCATTTCATTATGTTCGAGATAAACAGTAATCTATGTCCTTCTTTTTCCCAAATAGTACATAGATACCAATATTTCATGATACTTGGATGAGCGTTTAAGTAGTAAAGAAGTAATAAACAAATATTTTTTTTTTTTTTTATTAAAGGAAAACCAACAGCATAATTTCATAATAAAAAAAGACTAAAAGCCAAGTACAAGTTTTTACAAATAAAAACAACACAACTAATGCATGTGACATCGTTAATACTTACAATCGACTAAATTAAACCTATGAGTTTTTTTTTTTTTATGTGTGAAAATGGAATGGTAACGGGATACGCTGGCGGAGCACCAGTGAAGGGTGATAGATGAGAATGAAAACAGGCCAGTTAGCCCATCATGATGAATTCATCTTGAAGTAACCATGATAGTTTCCAGGGGGAACCGCGAGGAGGTCGACCTGGTTGGGTATATTGCTAGCAATGGGATTCTTAGTCTCTATTACTAACAATCCCTTTCCCCCCACGCTTACAGAGGAAGAACACCAAATCCTCATGAATTGCAACGCATGGCGGGTATTATGGGTGAAACAGTATACTCTGTTACGTCCATGGTACTGCTCATGTCTATAGGCGATGGTTACTACTTTCCATCAGGTGGGCCGTTAGAATGTTTGCCATTTTCAGATGCATAAAAAAATTAAATAAGGCTATGTCGGTCACTTTAGTTCTATTGTGGACATCCTCATTTTGGTTTCTGTCACACAAAGTAAGTCTGAGCAAGGCTCCTTCTATAGCTCGCTGAATAATTTGAAGCTTTTGCATACGGGTAACCGTGTAGGACCAAGTTTCAGTTTTATAGATCATCACTGGCGATACGCACTAGTTTACACATCTTCGTCTTCAAACTTCGAGACATTTTGGATGAGAAGACGTGGCGTAGTTTTCCAGACGTTGCCCAGCTGAGTTGGATTCAGTTAATTTCTCGGTCGAAAGAAAATCTATACTCGTTTGGTTTTATTTTTAAAGTTCTCGTTTTTGTGGGAATTTCTTGAGAATTACCTAGTGTGTTGAAATTATTGGGTACTTACTTATACGAGGTCTGTCCGGAAAGTTCGTATAAAAGTGTTCTGGAATGCGAGAAAGAGGAGTGGGGAGGCCAGGTAAGCGCAGGACCCCTTCCTTATGTCCCTAACAATGCTTCAGTTCTGGTCTGACCGCCGTGCGGTGCGAACTGGCTTGTCACGCCATCTGTGAAGTTACCTCTTAACGAAACCCCGTCGGCATGGAGCCCGCTTCCGTTGAAGAGCAGCGCGTCGTAATCAAGTTTCTCTCGAAACTCGGCAAGAATGGCCGTGAAATTTTTGCCGATCTCAGAACAGTTTATGGGGATGATGCTGTGAAGGAACCAACCGTCCACAAGTGGCTAAAAAGATTCAGAGAGGGCCGAGAAAGCGTTCAAGATGACCCACGTTCAGGACGTCCTTCCACTTCACATTCCGACGAAAACGTGGAAAGAATTCGAACTTGTGTTAATGGGGACCGTCGTTTAACGGTCAGACAGGTGGCTGAAGAGCTTAATTTGGGCAAAACCGTGGTCCACGAAATTCTAAGAAACGAACTTCAAATGAAAAAAATTTGCGCCAAGATCGTTCCGTGAGTTTTTGAGTAAAAATTCCATTACGGTGACCGAACACCCCCCTATTCGCCGGATTTGGCCCCGTGTGACTTCTTCTTGTTCCCAAAAACCAAATTGGTACTTCGGGGGCGGCATTTGGGGGACATAAATGAGATAAAAAAAGCTACGACGGGGCAGCTGAGAAACCTACAACCAGAGGACTTTCAAGGAGCCTTCTCACAGTGGAAACGGCGTTGGCACAAGTGCATTATGTCACAGGGGGAGTACTTTGAAGGGGATAAAATTGATTTACCTGAATAATTGTAAAATAAAATTTTTAAAAAACTTTTATACGTACTTTCCGGACAAACCTCGTATGTGACTTATGATTCAAGATGTTCTGGTTGACAACACATGACAAATCACATTTTCTTTCACTGTAGTTACTCTTTTCCATTCCTTTGTAATTTTTGGACTAGATTTGTCATATTTCCTTGTGTGTGCTATGTATGTATTTATATGTGTATGTTTATGTATTTTGTATGTATGTTATATATATATATATATATATATATATATATATAGTAAGTAATTTAATAAATTATATGTATTTGATATTTTTGTGCATTACAGGTTTTTGTATTTTATGCACGAAACATTATTAATTCACTCTTGCGCCACCTGCCCACTTCTATCTGTTCTCCTATAACCAAAGGTTGTCTGTAAGAGATTGCCCTAGCGATAAGACCGCCTTTTGTACCTTTATGTGTATATTTCAATCTGTATTTATGTTACTGTATTTCACTTGAATTATTCACTTGTCATTGTATATTTTTATTTATGGTGTAATTAAGACTTAAATAAATAAATACATAATATAGTTTGGCGTTATGGTAACCGCTTATTATCAGGCTGATCCTGTGCTTCTTTGTTACCTACGTTTGTTTTGTCATTTTGTTTGCAATGAAGGTCCTGAGGGACGCCGCTTCGTGTATGTGGAGCGCAGTGGAGTACGCTAGTTTGTGTACATGGCCGCTTGTACTCCCGATTGAAATGTCTAATATTTGTTTCGTGCTGTACCGTACAGCTTGTTTGCCATTCTAAGTAGTATAAAAAAGGTCTATTAAATTCGGCCGGTTATATAATATTCATTGCAATGTGATATGTGTAAAGTGGGTAAAAAGTATATAAAAAAAAAAACCCACTATTTAGATTGCATTTAAGCATGACAGTATATCACAACTTTTACATACATACATATCTGTCACGCTTGTTTACCATTAGGGTATGAACAAACAATGGAACACAAAATGCTCAGACAATCACAGGTATTTTTTATAGTAATAATACAGTTTCTATTTACATTTTTATACCTTGTTATCATATATATATATATAATATAAAATAAAACGTCTGTTCTGTCTTATATCTTTTATTATCGACTCCGTTATCTCACTTAGAAAACTCCACGACGCCTTTACAAATTCAAACAAAGGAATCATTTATTTTTATAAGTTAGTGTAACTTACTGACATTATATAATACACAGTACTTAAGGACTAATGCGATTCAAGAAATTCCACGACATTGGCTATGGAAAGTCCAAAATATATTTATTTAGTAAAAACAGGGCGACTGATAACCTATACAAAGCCGATTGATTGTTTTTTAAATATTTTTTTTAAACTGTAGTAATGATAGGAGTGCATAAATAATAGCTCTGCTGGGAATGACAGGGTTACGCTCTTTGTACAATACAATTATACACATTCAAAAACATAACGGGCGAGATAACCGCCAACCATAGACATTGGGGTCGACTCTGCGGTAACATTCCCCAAACTGTTTTCTAAATTTAAAATTTTAATTTGATACTTTAACGAAACTGTTATACTACGGGACCATAGAGAATTAAATGGAAAGCGGTTCTGACGCTAATGTATTAAAAATTAATATTGGTCCTTAGAATAATCGTTTCGCTGTAATATCAAGTTGAAATTTTAATTCTCGAGAGGGAGAATGGTGCTTCAGAATCATCTCCGCTGTATATATAAAAAAAAAAGTGTTTAATATACCGTCGATAGTGAACAAAATTTCCAGCGTGCAAGTAACATAACAGTAGTAAATAATAGACAAATAATGTTTGGCGACATAAGTCACTGAACGCACTATTGACAAATACCTTGAATCAGTTTAACGAAATGCAACGTTTAAAATGTTTACAAATGCATGTTTGCCATCGCAGTGGTAAAAAAAAAATAGTTGTTTATGGTTAGAAACGAACATTGTTTAGTATTAAATTCATTTATCCACATGCTGCATCATTCCCTCTCAAATTTGCTATACAACACTAACTAATATCATATATCCACTATAAATTTAAAAACAATTGAAACGAATTCCTTTTATAAATAATTTTCCAAACTCGCGTTCAACCTGAAAACAGTCATATCCATGTATTCTCTCTAGTACTACATTCTTACACTGGAAGAATTTAATTAATTTTCATTAAGTATATACAATTACATTTAGTGTTTCGTATTCTAAATTTGCATTTCGTTACACTGAATTTGAAACATCACAATTTAACATACGTTTATATTGGGGTCGACTCTGAGGCGTCATTTCTCTAAAGTTTAGAGTCTAAACGTATCTCTATCTATGGTCTAATACATATTTTAATTTGATAGTTTCACGAAATTTTTATTTTATGGACCATTACAAACAACATTTATAATAATTTTGACATAAATGTATTACAAATTTAGTTCATTGGACCTTAGCATAAAGATTTTGCTGTGACATCAATTTGAAATTTTAATTTTAGATTCAAGTTTAGGGAAATAGCATTTCAGAATAAACCCCATTATTAATAAGTATAAAATTACCCCCTACTTATAAAAACGTCACGTCACCGGTGATCAATGTCAAAATCGACATTTAATGTCAAATCTGACATTAACATCAAATCCATACAACACTAAAATTTACTAGGACATTAGATTAGCGATCGATTTTATAAGCAAGGGCATTTTGATGACTTTTTAAATAGCTCGATATCTGCGTATTGCAATATTAAAAATGTTTGAAATTGCATACACGCTATGTACAGATTTTAAAGAGGATTAATTTTTTTCATTTGCCTCCTTAACATTAAAAAAAACCTACACTGAAGCAGGTAATGAGAGTTCATAGTAATTTAGCATCAACTCTTATTATTTTAAGTAATTCACTATCCACTATTGAAGATGGCTTCCCTCTGAGACTGCTACAAGGATAGATCCTGAGCTACCTGCATCCATTTAATACCTGTAACAAATTTCAAAGAGCAGATCTTTAAAAACTTAGTTTTGTAATAGTAATCAAATTTTTTATTAGTTAATTACTTCTCCCTTACTAAACCTTCTCCCTTCTCTATCGACAAAAAATTATACGGGACCAATACTGAAGTACACTTTATGAAGTTTGTTCAAAACTGGCAACATAACAAAAGGAAAAAAAAATATGAGATTTTCCTTCTTTTAGAAGTGATTTTGGAAAAAAAGAGGAATTTTCAACCAACTTAGAGGTCTAATATGAATGTGACAAATTTATTTTCGTATATGGATCATAGTTTCACTAGCGCCCTCTGTCGACCATGTAGTGTGATTGCATTATTTGTGTCCGGCGCTTACCGTGCGCGATGCGGACACGGCAGCCTAGAGCAGCAGGCGGGCGCCGAGTATCTCGAGCGCGGCCTTGCGGCGCAGGTAGGGCATGTGCGCCTGCGTGAACGTGTACGGGGCGCCGCGCGCCGCGAACTCGGCGAACGTGCACGCGAACATGCCGCAGTCGCTGCCGTTCATCTGCTGCGGTATATTCTGCAGGAGTGATATTATATTAATACATATTAGAAGATTAGCCAACAGCTCACCTGAAGGAAAGTGGTAACCGTCGCCTGTAGACATGAACAGTACCATGGATATAACAGACATAATCCAACTTACTCATTACTCAACTTGAGTACAGCAATGGGAGATTTGCTGGCTGTGTTGTGATTTGAAGTGTGGGTTATGACAGAAAAATACAGGTGTAATATTTAAAAATGTCTTGATGCCCCTGATGTTGCAGATGGGAGTTGATATGGCGACAATGGGTGATCCACTAGATTGGTGTTAATATTAAAAAAAACTTGCCTTTAGACACTCCGCTTTCCATCCCTTATCATCAAACGGTTGTCCTTTCTTATCCTGGTGTTCGTCGCGCAAATACTGCATGAGCGCGTCGAGGCACGCCTGATTGGAGCTGCCCATGCTGTCCAGGTATGAGATCTTCTTGTTTTGGAAGTCGACCAGGCTGAGGCACCAATGGACTCCTAAGTGAACTGGCACGACCATCAAATCATGTGCAAATATGTCCACCTGAAAAGTAAAAACAATAATATGCAATTTTTGTATACTATATCAGATAACAAGATATGGAAGTATAAACATCATTATAATGGATATGCCGGAGGGGTATCACAGAGTAAGCAAGTAAAACCTTTATTTACAAAAAAGAACAAGGGTTGCACTGTTGCAAATTTTTGCCCTGGCTTACAAGTTAGAGTAATCTGTGACTTGTAAGGCAGATTCTTCCAACATACAAGAATTAGTACTATATACTTGTATATGCAGAATTAAAAGGTTAATGTGTGTATATTTGAAGTGAGAGAAAGAGTTGTATTAATGTATATATTATTTTTATTTGTTCTTATATTTTTGTAAATATGTCCAGTAACTCTATTGGTATTTATATTAGTATATACAGTTGCAGTTATTTATTTATTTATTACATCTACTGGGTGAGCCTTACAGACTTCCAATACGCTCACCTAGGAAAGCATGAGTACAATAACATATAAAAAGGAATATTACACAAAAATATTAAATAAAAAATAATATAAAAAGATTTAACTCAAACAAAAAACGTCTGAACACAAATACTCTGTGGTCACTCGACGAAACTCCAGCAAGTTGGAGGCAAATACATCCAATTGCGGATACTGGCTCAAAATATCACTGAGTAGTTATTTAGAAGTTATGTAGGAGTTTTTTAAGTTTTATTAATAATGAGCAAGTAAACCAAGAGTACATGGTGTTGTCCATGTTTATAAGCGACAGTTACCGCTTTCCATCAGGTAGTCAGTTAGCTTGTTTGCTGGTCTAAGCACAATAAAAAAAATTAGACAAGTACAGTGTCACAGCGAAATTTCTATAGGCGGTAAGAAAAAAACAGTAGTCAAGAAGTGCTTTTGAATTATATTGTAAATATCTGATTTCTTACCTTCCTTGTCCATCGCCGTAGGCCTGCTTGTCCACTTTGCATAAGTTTCGGATAAAAGAATGTGTTTGTTGCGTACACCTTTGGTAGATCCTTGCGATCCTCACTCCGCTGCATCAATAAATTCATGTAGAAATTGATCACTTCATCGTTGAGCCAGTTGAGACCCGACAGAGTCTGGAGATCTCGCCTGTAAATAAATATTATATATACTAACTCAATTCTTTTTTTATACAACTTAGAATGGCAAACAACCTGACAGTCCACCTGATGGAAAGTGGTAACCGTCTACTTTAGACATGAGCAGTACCATGGACATAACAGAGTATACTCTTTCACCCATGATACCCCCCCATGCGTTGCCATTCCTGAGGACTCAGGTGTTATTCCTCTGTACCCTGTAAATTCACGCCATATCCCACCCTTCAAACCGAAATACAGCCATGCAAATACAACTGCTTCACGGTTGAAACACTTAAAAAAAATTAAATATTTAAAATAACAATCTAAAAATAGTCTTTCACTCAAGACAAGACCAGCAGGTCTACTCTTGTATCCAATATCAACATCGATCCAATCTATTGCCAATGACAAATTTATACTGCACCCATGAAACAACAATTATGAATTAGGTGAGAATTAAAATTGGTTCGCATTGACAATTTACACTAATATCCGTCTATCAGAACGGTATGGAACCATTACGTCGCTAGTATTGCAATTTGAGAGTGCAATACGTCTCAATTTTAATATGGATCTATTTATTTTTTTTATGGATGAAAATGGAATGGTAACCCCGCCTGCGCTAACGGGATACGCTGGCGGAGCACCAGTGTAGGGTGATAGATGAGAATGAAAACAGGCCAGTTAGCCCATGATGATGAATTCATCAGGAATTAACCATAATAGTTTCCAGGGGGAACCGCGAGGTCGACCTGGTTGGGTTATTATTATATTGCTAGCAATGGGATTCTTAGTCTCCATTACTAACAATCCCTTTCCCCCCAATATCGATCTATTGGAATTTATTTCAAGAGTAAACCCCACTGGTCTGGCGATCGTGACAGCAAGAAATGCAAAATTAATTATAATAAACAACGCTTATTACTTACCTATGTATTCTTAAATTGAATTTCTCTACAAGAACTTGGCCGGGCGGGCCTGGCCCCAGTGCTCTATTAACTAATTTCTCTTGTTCAGGCGTGAGCGCCGGGAGCTCCACAGTAGGCTGAGGCTCCTCGAAAAGACTTTCCGGTATACTTAATTCATACTTTAACTTGTTCTCTAAATGTGCTATTTTTTGTTCATTATTTACTTTTGCTATAATATCGGATTCGCGTCGCGCGTCTATCAATTTCTCCTGGGTTTGCTGTTTTTTCTTTTTGTATTTACTATCTAATTTAGAGAGCCAATCACTCGATATCACAGCTCGGTCTTTGAAGGACTCTCTAAGGGAATTGATAGGATCTATTCTAAGAGAAGACGTTGACGATTCAGAAGGAACAATTTCTACCTCGGAGTCCGAGGAGTTTATTGACGCTACAGTAATGGGATCATATTCTTTCGTTACCTCATTCTCTTTCTCCGCACTCAGACCTTTCTCCACTAATTTTATCTCGTCCAACGCTTTCTTCTGCGATTTTTGCGTCAAACGGAACGACGCGGCATCTTCCGCTATACTGATTATGTCGACGGGTTTCCCAAAAGTCATCGGCTTCTTCGTACCTGCTACTCGCCTGATTAGCTCTTGGTAGTTTCTCTTTTCATCTAAATTGAATACTTCCGACAGTGTTGATCTCGTATTGCCGTTAATATTTAAATATCTGTTTCTTAAGTTTGGGAGATTCGATGACTTGCATGTTTGCATCCATTTTGGCACCGGTGTTGGTGCCTTTCTGTATGGTTTAGATATTCCCGCTGGCGCCTTAAACTTGCTGTGGGCTCTTGGCGATATGTTTGCATTTCTGTCATTTAGGTTTCGACTTAGTTTGTAATATACTGGCTCGTGTGCCGCAGAGTCTGGTTCGTGTCCACTGTTCGCGATGAAGTATTTGTAGGGCTTTACGGGTGGTGGAGACGTCACTTTTTTCACGAATATAACATCGTCGTCGCGTTGATTGTGATCGGATTCCTCCTCATCCAAGTCTATGTACACTTTTGGTTTCCCTGATTTACTATCTACCCATGTCACCTACAACAATTATAAATATTTTTTTTTATATTATTACAGTTAATTATTTAATTAGTGACTTTAATAGCAACTAGAAGAGATTCAACATTCGCAGCTATCTTCACAGTCAAAAAGTTTGTGAGTACACAAATGATCAACATGAGCACTATTTCGAATAGCAAATGTCAATTCCCATATCATATATTATATTTTACTAGTGACCCGCCCCGGCTTCTGACGGGTGCACATCACATCACATCACATTAGAAATCTCTAAAATAATCAATGTTTCTCTAATATATTATGCATGTACTATATATATAAACCTTCCTCTTGAATTACTCTATCTATTAAAAAAACCGCATCAAAATCCGTTGCGTAGTTTTAAAGATCTAAGCATATATAGGGAAAGACAGATGAGAAGAGACTTTGTTTTATATTATGTAGTAATAGTGATATAGCTGCTACTGTTGTAGCAGTTATATAAATACGACAGCAAGTCGAAAGTCAAATGGCTCCAGACTTAAGCCATAATGTCTTCGCAACATTTTTTATTTCATTGATCTTTTACATTGGCAGCCTCTTGAATATGGCGAACACACAGTCTTTTAATTTAATGAAAAGATGTTACAGTTGTGTTGAAATTATTACAGAAACATCTTTAAATGAAATAAGTAATTAATCAAAACATTTAATTAATGAATCTATATCTCAATCGATAAATAATGCACGAGCTTTATAATGTCCATGTAATTTTATATGTACTATACATTTAAATAAATATTTTATTTAACTGTATATTTGTTTATGTACTCTAAATATTAATAGCTGTAGCAATTTAGCTATCCGCTAACAACATGCTTTTTAACTGCATTGGGTGGACTGGAAGAGATCTCTTTCCAAAAAAAGTCCATCCTTGCTCACAGTATTTATAAATGCATTAACAAAGTAATTTACAAGTGCAATAAAGAATGTATATTTAAATAAATATACTGATAGAGACTTAAGAGTAGCTGTTGAGTGTCTTGTGGGGTTCTTCTCAACAGATAACAATTTTCCGAATCTTGCATTAAAAAAAAATAATGATTTAAAACAGCTTATAAACAATTATATTTGATTAAAGACTAGTATTGATGTAAGTAGAATATGCGTTAACATGACATAAACTAATTCAAGCTACACAGCACGTTTTATTTCGGTAATATTATATATTTAGAACATATTTGTTTACATTTTCATGTAAGTTCTATTGGCGGGTTTCTTTCATAATTTCATAAAATCTATTGTTCTTTAGGCGTTAGAAAAAATTACAAAATCAAAATTGCTTTTTTTTTTTATACAACTTAGAATGGCAAACAAGCTGACGGTCCACCTGATGGAAAGTGGTAACCGTCGCCTATAGACATGAGCCGTACCATGGACATAACAGAGTATACTGTTTCGCCCATGATACCCCCCATGCATTGCCATTCCTGAGGACTCAGGTGTCATTCCTCTGTACCCAGTAAATTCACGCCATATCCCACCCTTCAAACCGAAACACAGCCATGCAAACACAGATGCTTCACGGTTGAAACACGAATGGGACAGAGGTACCCAAGCAATCGACTTTTGTACAAAGTCTCCCTCTGGTGAATTGCTCCTCTTATTCTATAAAAAAAAGGAATGACTAATGTCATGGAAAATCTATGAGTTTATATACAACTGGATTTACTATAAAATGTTGAAACACTTACCTCTTGATCATCACAGTCATCTTCATCATCAACAACAGCATGTATGACGGGCCTGTTAACAGACACCTTTCTATACGAGGTTGGTGCTCCGTTCTCCTTCACGCCGACTAATTTTATTGGCACAGTACGGACCTTACTTGGCTTCTCTAACACCCGATTGGGTGTCGAGGTGCTAGGATGGCCCCTTTCTATTTGTATAGGGACATAGCGTACTTTTGACTTTTCATGGTCCCAAAAATCTGAAGCAGAATGAAAAGTATTGTTATTAAAAAAGTGTAAGGTAATTTGTGTAATTTTTGTAGGTGGCTCAGGACCATTTTTTATGACCGTTTTTAGAAGAGGCCTATGTTTAACAGTGGACTGGTAATGGTTGAGATTATAATGTAATTGTTTATTGTAAGTGATGGATATCCCACAAATACTTGTTTAGCTGACTCAACAGACAATGGTTTTGCATTTGAGAAATCATTTCCTATATTTATACTGTGTCAGTCACCGAATCAAAACTCAAGATAGGTAGATTCTTAGGTGGGGAAACTTATTTCTAAAATTATTTTAATTTGACTGTGGGACATGATTTCTTTAAACATATATCTTCAATTTGATATCACAGTAAAATCTTTATTCCTAGGACCTATATAAAGTATACTTCTAATAGGTTTAAGCCAAAATGATTGTAAAGGTATTTTATGATGGCCTATAAAACAGTAATTTTACAAAATTAACAAATTAAAATATTAGGTTAAGAGTATAAGTTTATAGAAATGATGCTTCATGAATCAAATTCAAAATCAAAGAAGGCACTTTTATGATTTTTCTCTTCATAAGAACTTTCCTCAAACTTCAATAAATATTAGAAAAAGAAAATTTGCCATGTTGGTTTAGCAATTTTTATGTTTTGTTCTTATTTTTTATTTATATTTAGGTGTAATGATATCTACATATAAAGAAAATGTAAAATATTGTCATACTTTATTCAAATATGATGTTAAAAGCCTGTGGTATGGTTTTCTAAAATGCTGAACCTAATAAATGATGTTTTGCTAGTTGTTTCCATGCTTAATAGGCGAGTTGGCAATTGCAGTTTGCTTTTGGTGATGTTTTAAGAGGGTCATGTCTGTCCACCCATCTACCATAAGCACCCTTAGTCACCTCTTATGAAACCCATGGAAAAGAAAGGGGTGGCTTTTTTATGCCGAGACTTACATGACTATTATACATAGATACACAGATATGGCTTATTAATAATAAGAAAATCATTCTTCTTTATTGAATATAATGACAATAATGAGCTCAAGATAAAAATGTAGCATATAGTCGTCAAATAATGTATGTGCCAAATTTTGTGGCAAGTGATTGCAAATAAATAGCAGCAAATAAACAAACTCATTCTCACATCTATATTATTAGTAAATAAAATAATTTACCATAAGCTAACATTAACTATGATACATACATTTTATTTATATATACATATAAATAGAAAAATATTTTATACATAAATTTATTAGAAAAAGTTGTGGCCAAGTTTTTTGCAGATTCTTTTTAACAGATAACAAAGCTGGGTTTGATCCAGCAGTACAACTATAATATGAAAATTTAAAAGATGTTTAAATTAATATATTAAATACAGACTTCACTCATTCTAGATGTTCTGATTTGTGATACTCATACAATTTCATCAAGATACAGACTACCCTTTTGCACCTATGTTTTCATAATTAGATAGTTCAATAAATTATTTATTTTAAAATAATCAAACAAACATAAACATGTGAGACTCTTGTCTATTTTTCTTAGTTGAATTTGCTTCAAGTAATAAACTTACCTAAATCAGAACTATACAGTGTCCTAGCACTGACTCTATAATCAATCTATCTTTATGCCATACTTCTTATTATGTATTATATTATAAACAAAACAAAGCATCCAAGATTTCTAAATACATTATTTAGATTCCCTTACACCCTAGTGGATATAGATATTAAATGCTATTAAATAAAAAAAAACATCAGATATCCATGTTATAAACACTACTATGAGAGTTAGACACTTAATTCTTTAAAGTATTAAGGACACAATCTATAGTACCGTTATCAGCCATTATATCAGGGAAGCTAGTTTTCCTCATCTGTCTGAGTTTCTTGAGTGCCGGTGTATCATCATCAGACGAAAAGTCATCTTCTGCCCTGAAAAATAATCGGAAACACGTTGCAGTTACGTTTGATGCATTTTATATGTAATTCAAACATCACTTACTTCCAGAACCTAGATGCTACTTTTAATGGTATTCTGAACATAATTTTTACATAAATTTCGAGGGAAACAAGCAAGATTTTTCAGCGACTTTGCCGCCATAACTAATTGTAATGTTGTAAACTGTAAACATGTCATACCTGTCTCGTTTCAAGTTTGTGCTATTAGTAGGATTTTCGTCAGACCAACCAAGAAGGCTTCGCACATAAGCCACAATGGACTGCATTTTATACAATTATGTTTCCATTACCTTATTTGATGGTAATTAAAGAGAATATTTTAAAATTAATACAACTCAACATTAAAAAGAGCATTTCACTTGACTCAGTAGTCATAGACAAAACACATTTTATTTTTCTTTTTAATTTGGCAAGGGGCTAGTGTTGCCCATTGTGGCAACTAATCTGTCACTAACAAATGAAACGACATGGGATATTTGAAGGGAAATTATAAAATTATGAAATTTCTAAATACCTATAGGGAAGGAATATGACTATTTGAGATAGTTGAAGAATTGATTAATGTCGTAAGAAGTATGCGCTTTATGAACCTTCAAATATTAATATTTTAAAAAACAAATAAATCAGTAATTTTAGTTCCTAAATTGTTCTGTAGAGGCATTACCAGCAAAGTGTAAAAATCTCAAAATAATTGCAAAATTACAGATTAATAGCAAATGGCGTTTAGTATTTTTTATTTTTGATACCAACGTTGTGTGCTAATTGCTTTTTAGGTAATGCTCACAGACATATAATATCTGTGGTTGGTCTGTGGTTATGTAATTTCTACCATTTGTATAGAAACATGCACAGATATAATAATTATAATTATGTCTGTGAAAATATGTCAATTATAAAGATTGACATTACATATTGTGCCTGTCATAGGCAGCATGGTCTCCGACCTTAGCCTGTTCCACAACGGAACAAACGTACTAAAAAAAAATGTGCCTGTCATAAAAATTTATAATCACCAATTGATTCCAGACAAATTATCTTTTTGAAGACTAGGCAGCATGGTCTCCGACCTTAGCCTGTTCCAAACGGAACAAACGTACTAAAAAAAAAAAAAAATCACCAATTGTAAAAAAATGCACAGGAATCAAAGATTCCTTATTCTTGTTAAGTAATATATGTAATTGCGTAAAATGTAGTATTACTTTCCTCGAACACTTTTCAGAGATTAAAGAAACAATATAGCCGATTATGAGGTGCCATATGTCAAAATTTATTTCTAAATCTAATCGAAATTATGAAATTTTAAAATTAATACTTTTTTTTTAATGGGTGATAATAGAATAGTATCCCTGCCTGTGCTATCGGTATACGATGGCGGTACACTAGTGAGGGATGATAGGTGACGATGAAAGTAGGTCAATTAGCACATCATGACAAATTCCGCTAGAATTAACCACAATGGTTTCCAGTGGGGAACCATATGGAGATTGACCTGATACGGTGTATTGCTGGCAATGAGTCAGTTGGTCTCCAATACTAACAATCGCTTTCCTACCTCAATACATGCGTCTAAGATGTTCGTATGTAGTTAGGGTTAGCACGAGAAGCGCGCATTTTAACATCTCATGTTGTAGAATTTGAATAAAAGCTGTGACTATTAGGTTTGGATAATATCGCTTCTGCTATATTGATTCGGTACTGGCTATTTAACTTGAATATCAGATATTGAAACTATATATTTTGACAGTCGATTTTAAATTTCAAATAATTCTTGATTTCAATCAAAATTAAGTCAACTGAGACTGGCTTGTTATCCTCTATACTTTGTAAATATTGTATTCTTTATCTTTCTCTGATATCGGCGACGACTATTTCATTATTTAGGCGCTGTCGCGTATTTGAGAGGGAGCGAGCTTAGGGACTTGATTTAAATAGGTGAAAATAAAATAGTGGGTCTGCCTGTACCAGAATGATTGTTTGCCCTGGCTGTCGGTATACATTGAAGGGCACCAGTAAGAGATGATAGGTGAAGATAAGGCAATTCAGTTTGCCCATTCTGACCAAGTTAACAATTATTGACGGGGATGATTTCCAGAGGAAACAGCGTAATGATCAACCTGACCACTTGAAAATTGAGATATAATTCCGATGTTGCCACACTTCGGTAAGTTTCGGTATGAACATGTATCGGTATGTATCAGTGCAACAGAATGATTTTCCCAAATATTTAAATTTAGATCTATAAACAAAAATGGCGGGCGTCTCTTATTAATACGTCGTGTTTAGCTCTTAATATGGGAGGAGCGTTGCATTTTTTCAAATGATTTCGACAAAAGGAGAAGCATATCAATTCGGTTGTATTTTTTATGTTTGTTACGCCAGAAGTTTGTAATTTATAGATAGATAGATAGATACTCTTTATTGTTTCCTCCAAAAGATTACAATAGTAAACTTATTATAAATATAAACAATTACAAGAAATAATCACAATGAGAAAACAATGGGCGACCTTATCGCTAATTAATTTAGAAACCGATTTGAATTTTTTTTTAAATAGTTAAAAAATTTAAAGAATTTATTTTTTAAATACAAGCAATAGTATTTGCCACGACTGAAGACGATGTCCTATTTTTTATGGAATAAAATCTAGTTTATAATGATTTTTATCTGGATCCATTCACCCAACAGAATCGATCGATCAAAAATGCTCGCTAGATGATGACTAAATGCCAATATTGGGTTTTGAAAGTAGTCATGCATTTCAGTAATTAACAATTTTGAATTCCAATATCGTATAGACCTTTCCACGATTATGACTTGCATATCAATTGGGAGCATCGATGAACATTGCACATTTGGTTTATTGTTGTCATTGTGCAACTTATATATTGTTGTGACTTTGTCAGACGGATGAAGTTAGCAGTCATATAGCATCATTGATGTTGCACAAAAAAGGATCGGTCCTTTTTTGTTTTAATTTTATAATTATCTATTACTAATAATATAAATATAATCGAGGATTTTTTTCAAGTCCATTGACCTATTACGGACCATCCTGTAAACCACATGTAGGTTTGATTTTATTCAACTTTATGGGTATCATGGGAGACACAGTATGCTCGGGAAGGGCAAAAATCTTAGTAACGTGGACTAGCAGTCCTATTGCTAATAATACCAGGTCACTCAGAAAATATTGCGAGAAAAAGTTTTTATGTATGGTATGTGAGACTGGCCAGTTATAATTTATTTAAAAATATGATTACTTGTAAGTAAAAATAGGTATGTTCTAAATTCAAAACTTCCCTTCACTTTTTTTGCGAGCTAATTAAAATTACTGTGTCTCATTGAAATATGGATTTGCGTCGAGAACATTTACGCGCTATTATTTTTTACAATTTTAAGTCTCGCCTGAAACCGGACGAATCGTACGATAGATTTCAAATGGCATTCATGGATGAAGGCCCTTCTAAGGCAACCGTGTATCGTTGGTATAATGAATTTAAGCGCCGTCGACTAACGTTGGGGATGAAGAAAGAAGTGATCGCCCTTTGACGGTTGTTACGGAACAAAACGTGCTAGCAGTGAAAAATTTGATCCAAGACAATAGACGAGTTACATACCAAGAGATTCAGCATATACTGCAGATTGGATCAGGAAGCCTTTACGAGATTCTACACGTGCATCTACGGGTGTGGAGGAGAGTTACGACTTAGTTTAGGCTCCAGATATCCCACATATTATTTATTAATTATTATTATAGATCACGCTGGGTGCCGCACAACCTCACCGATCTTCAGAAGCAGGCAAGGGTGGAATGGTGCCATAATATGATAGACAAATTTGATACAGTCTCGTCTCAGCGTGTTTACAACATCGTTATAGGTGATGAATTCTGGATTTATCAATACGATTCAAAAACAAAGCGCCAGTCGACGGTTTGGGTGTTTTAAAACGAATCAACGGCTACCAAAGTAAAGCGATCTAGAAGCGGGGGGAAGATTTTGATCGCGAGCTTTTTCAATTTGACTGGCTACTTGGTGCCAATTCCTTTACGAAACCAAAGAAGCATTAACGCCGAATGGTATACTACCAAATGCTTGGCAGAAGTTTTCTTTGTTGGGAGCAACAGGCGACCAAACACAGGGCTCCGCGGGCTACTGCTCCACCACGATAATGCACCCGCCCACACCGCAATCAAAACGAGGCACTTCCTAGACAGCACACCGGTCAAACTCTTGGGTCACCCTCCTTACAATCCTGACCTAGCACCGTGTGACTTCTTCTTTTTATTCCCAAAAATAAAAAAATCACCTCAAAGTGATACAATTTTCGTCGCTGGATGATGCGCTCTCAGCGTTCGAGCAGGCTGTAAACGAGGTGTCTGCGGCGGACTGGAAAAAGTGTTTCGAAAACTGGTTCAGACGCATGAAACTGGCTGATAGAGGCTGGTTGAGAGTACTTTGAAAAGATGTAATAAAATATATTTACCTATAGAAAATTTTTTTTAGTGTCGCAAAACTCGGAGTGTCCCAGTCGGCCTTCTATGTTCTCCCCTGGAAATTATCGTGCTGAATTCCAGGTATTTATCACGATGGGCTAACTAACCTCACTTTTCATTCTCGTCTATCATTTATTATAATATAGAAATAAAAGATAATATGCTCTGTTATATCCATGATATTGTTCATGTCTATAGACGATGGTTGCCACTTTCCATCAGGTGGGCAGTCACCTTGTTTGCCATTCTCAGTTATATAAAAAAACCTTTCCTATTATATGTAATTGATACTTCGTCAGCATTTATTCCGTTTTCACATAATATAGTTAAATTTTAATACAACAAACGAACAAGTGCCCCTCTATAAGACAGTGTGTTAAACGTCTAATCCTTAAACCTAAACCTTAGTCAGGGGTTCCCAAACCTATTTTGTCCACTATCCACTTTAAGAATAAATTATGTTATAGCGCTCCCATTTTTTCATCTACTTAAAACCAGTATTATTTCAAGATCAACAAATCAACCCCCAAACCTCTACATAACGTCTCCATTGTTTTCTGGATCTCTTAGGCCTTCAGCGCCAACAAAGGGGCGTTATCGTCCACTTTGGGAAAGGCTGCCTTAGATCATTGTTTCTTTACCATTTTTATGTCGTGACCCATAAAAAAGTTAAAAAGTAACAAGTTTTGCGACCCCGTCACTATATTAAATTTAATTATAACAATATCTTAATAGTTTATTTATCACACTACTAACTTAAAAATCAGTGACGATGACTAAAAAAATTTAATGAAATTAGTAATCGAATGGTTTGAAAATCATTACAATAATTTGAACCAATTGCTGAGTCGAATAATTAGCTACGAATATTTCAAGGTATTATCAACAGACTGTAAACCCCTCTATTATTAATAAACGCGACTCCTCCCCACCCCAGTTCTCCACCCTCCAATTGAGAAACTATGCCATAGAGTAGTACTAATAAAATATTGATTAATTAATTAAATATTTATATATGTTATTAAAAAAAAACAAGAAGGAATGGAGATGTCGGGAGGGGCCGTCCTAGACCGACGTATGTCGACCAAATAGGCGATGTGCTGTAGAAGGGCCAAAATAAAAGTACCCGTAACCGGCGAGTGTGTTTTGATTGATGAATATGGAGGAAACAAAAGACTTTTGTTTGAATCGAAGCATTTGGCGTTCCATTGTTTCTGCCTACCCTAATGGGAGACAGACCTCTATGTATGACAGATATGTATATATTTAATATCATTTAGAGAGTATTTAATTTGTTTGTATTGTCAATATGCTATGATGGTGGAGTCATGTCTATGTTCACGTGTGAAGTGCAATAAAATTGTTGGTTTACTAAAAAAAATTAATAATTGTTAATTTAGGCACGTACTAGGTCAATGTATTGCCCCACCCGTTTTGTATTGATTTTCTATATTTGTATTTAATGTAAAAGATCATTTTCATTTCTTAATTTTGTCAATTATAATCGAGCCCTTGAAAATATAAATTTCCACAAACCTCGTGGTCTCAATACAACCCGCAACATTTCAACAAAACTTGATTAACTTTTTATTATATTATTATGCAGTTATTGAATATTTAAATGACAAAACAATGTATGTATTATAAATAAGATAAAAATGTATTAAAAATTACTTAAAATATAAACCATAATTTTATATGATAATGTACAGACTAAATACAGTTTAACATTTGCATACCCCTACGGGGTGCTGCATGTTATGCGCCTACTTGTATATGTAACTTCTTGTTGTACCATGTAGCAAGCGAATAAATATGATTTCATTTGATTTTTATTTATTTATAACATACATGTAACAGATTTCAATGTGTTTCTAATACACTTGTAGAGGTATAGATGTGGGTTTGATGATATTTATATATAGATTCAGAAGGAGTGAGAGAAAGAAAGATTTAGTACGAGATTGTATAATTAATAATATTTACAGTAAATAATTCCAGATATAATTAGTCGCGATACAAAATAAAGTTCGATAAAATTGCTAAGACAAGAAGATTGTCAAGAACGTCACAATTTATTTTTCTGTAACTATGTAGGTTTGAAAGAGGTTGGTAGCCTACATCACTCCCCCCCATGAGACCTGGTTAAGGGCGATAGAAATCTGGAAATCGGACACGACGTCCAGAACGAGTAGTTCTAGTTACAGGATTGTTCATGTCTTGGTTGATAAGACAAGAAGATTGTCAAGAACGTCACAATTTATTTTTCTGTAACAATGTAGGTTTGAAAGAGGTTGGTAGCCTACACACTGACATTATATACGCTACATAGTTAACGAATTCTCATATAAAAAAATATTCAAGACGATGCAGCTCTCCAGTTTGATTTGCAAAGACTCGACAGTTATTGAGTCATATATCTGCAGGTGTAGTTTTGAATCTAATCTCAATATTAATTATTGATGTTATTGATTTTAGTCTAATCTTTAGTAGTTTTTTTTTATCAGTATGAAGTTTGTGATTGTCATTTTATCTATTCACAATTTTTTTTTGTTGTTAACCCAACTTTTAATCGAAAAAAAAAAACAACAGCTGACTTCTTTGCCCATTGTTGTCAGCTGCAATTCTTTGCTGGACTGGGCGACAGATTCATAAATGCTTATAATTTACTTGAATATTTTTTTTTTTATTATCTATTATCAATGACATTTTTATCACGTTCTGGAAACGCAACAATTACGAATTAGGTTTAAGTTGGTTTAAAATAGGGTTTACATTGGATATTCAGTTATATATTTGAGGGCATATGAGGGACGTGAGTAATAAATGAGTTAAATTAATATTCGATATTCACTTTCCCTTTAAGCTTCTCCTGCTGGTTACTCTGTTTGAGTCATAGATTACTATTTGCTCTTCTATTGCAGTTGTTTTATTTAATTGTTTTATATCGTAATATTTTTTGTATTTATTGTATGTATATATTTATTTATTTAATATGTTATGTGTATGTTTATATTGTTTTAATTTATCAATTATTGCTTTATATTTTTTTTCTCTATTCAAAAATGCACCGCCTATGTATTTCTCTGTGTACCCAATGGTTGACTGGTAGAGAACACCGTCCGGTGTTAAGTCCGCCAAATGTAAATAGATTTTTACTGTGCATTAAAGTTTAAATAAATAAACATTGATAATATTGTGAATAATGCTATACGTATATTGGGTATTGTCATGCGTAGCTCTACTTGCTATGTACCTACATGCGAAGATTTTAAATGTATCCTACTGTACATAGAGTAGTTATATTTTAGGTCTTATAATTTATTTATACCAAACCGATTTACCAGGGACTGACTATGATGGTTTCCAAAGGGAGAATAGTTAGAACTGTAGAGAATATTTCTAGTCCTCGTTTATAGTACGCACTAACGGCCCGCCCCGGCTTCATTCAAAACGAAAATTCATTTGAAACTTTTTCTGAAAAACGAAAAATATTAAAGATTACGATTATTAAAGGAAAGAAAATGTAATTTAAATTTTTACTTGAAAGAGGTAATGGAAGGACTCTCTTGTATGCGGAAAAGGAGTCTATTCTGTCATAATTGGGCAGCTCAATACGAGAGAGAGTTTCCCATAAAGCATGTCCTACGTAAGGGGAGTTTGAACATTTTGGACTGAACCTGAGAGCGTTTAGGAAGGACTGGAGGTGGTAAGGGGACTCGATTTTAATTATTATTTATTTACGATGGAGAATTGGGATTATTGAGTATGTTTTACCAGAGGGAGACTTTGTACAAAAGTCGATTGCTTGGGTACCTCTGTCCCATTCGTGTTTCTACCGTGAAGCGGTTGTGTTTGCATGGCTGTGTTTCGGTTTGAAGGGTGGGATATGGCGTGAAGTTACGGGGTACAGAGGAATAACACCTGAGTCCTCAGGAATGGCAACGCATGGGGGTATCATGGGCGAAACAGTATACTCTGTTATGTCCATGGTACTGCTCATGTCTATAGGCGACGGTTACCACTTTCCATCAGGTGGGCCGTCAATTTGTTTGGCATTCTAAGTTGTATAAAAAAAAATTATAAATGTTATAAAGCTATAATATGACATACTATTCTATATATCTTTTCAATTCTATATATAAACAAAAATTAAGGACTTCTATCTGAGCAAATTGTCATATTCGTAATATGTGTAATTACATATGTATATACATGTATTTATATATTTATATGTATATATGATTTTATTTAAGTATGTATTAGTCACTTAAAATATACATTTATATATTCATATTTTCATACGTATACGTCTCTCTGTATGTATTTAAAAAATAGACAGTTTTATGCAAGTCAAACTGTTTATAATTACTACTCTCCATCCAAAGGCTGCCTGGAAGAGATCGCTCTTAGAGATAAGGCTGCTCATTGTTTTCTCAGTGTAATATTTTCTTGTAATTGTTTATGTTTATAATAAGTTTACTATTGTAATATATATCATATACAATTGGATCGGGAAGGAAAAATAAAAAGAAAAATACTAAGAAGACTCGAGGACATCTTTAATAAAAAATTGTGAACTGCATCCCTCGCTTTTTTTTTAATTAATTCCCCTGAACATCGGGTATGTTTATTTAGGCATTCATTTTAAATCAGTCAACTTACAAGGTAAGAGTAAAATAAAAAGACCATTTATATTTACAAAATATGTTATATGTTTATTCAAGTTTCAAAGTATAAGCCTGAAGTCTAAAAATAAGAAGCATGTCGATTTATTATTTAGTATTTTTTTTATTGATCCATTCGTACAGAATTTGACATATTGCGTGGACAGGCGCACCCAGGACACTGAAGTAGTCACCTTCGATACATTTTATGAAGGTTCCAGCCAGACCTTGTATTGCGTAGGCTCCTGCTTTATCCCTACCACAAAAAAGTATGCATATTAAAAAAAAATGTAGAGCTATTAAAAATCAGGGGAAAAGATGACAAAAGTCATTCCACTTGTGTTTCTATCACATTTTGGGGTATATTTCGGTTTGTAATTTTTTTTTATACAACTTAGAATAGCACACAAGCTGACGGCCCATCTGGAAAGTGGTAACCGTCGCCTATGGACATGAGCAGTACCATGGACATAACAGAGTATACTGTTTAGCCCATGATACCCCCCCATGCGTTGTCATTCCTGAGGACTCAGGTGTTATTCCTCTGTACCCAGTAAATTCACGCCATATCCCACCCTTCAAACCGAAACATAGCCATGCAAACACAACTGCTTCACGGTTGAAACACGAATGTAGGGTGAAAGGTGGCGGTGAAATAGGCCATGAAGACATAACATCGTGAAGATAAGCATATTATTATGTACATGATGCTGTCCATGTTCTTTGACGATAGTTAGGCCCCATCCACCCCATAGTACCGTTCTCCTCTATAGTCAATTCCAGTTTTTTTTAATGGATGATTATGAAATGGTAATCTCATCTGCGCTACCGGTATATACTGGTGAGGCACCAGTGATAGGTGACGATGAAAGCAAGTCCGTTGACCTATCGTGACGAATTCCACTAGAATTAATCACGATGGTTTCCAGGGGGAACCACGTGGAGGTCGGCCTGATAGGGTGTATTGCTAGCAATGGGGTTGTCAGATCCCCATTACTAACAATCTTCCCCCCCCCCGAAAAGGCAGGTTTTTTTTAAATGGGTGATAATGGAACGGTAATCCTACCCGCGCTAACGGTATACACCGGCGGGGCACCAGTGAGAGATGATAGGTGAGGATGAAGCAGATCTGTTAGCCCATCGTGACGAATTCAACGAGAATTGTTCACTATGATTTCCAGGGGGAATAACGTGGAGGTCGACCTAATAGGGCTAGCAATGGGACTGTCAAACTCCATTGCTAACAATCCCTTTTCACCCGAAAAGGCAGATTAGTTAGCTCATAGTGACGAATACACCTGGAATTCAGCACGATGGTTTCCAGGGGAGACCACGTGGCGGTCGACCTGACAGGGTATATTACTAGCAATGAGACTGGTAGTCCGCATTACTAACAATCCCTTCCTCCCGGTGATTTCTGATTACCCTGTAAGGAATTTAACTTGAAGATGGATAGATAGATATTAAGTACAGTGGATGTATCTAGGTAAATGCTTCGGCCGTAAGTGGAGTGGCCATCAGACGCTACTTACATCGGTTCCTTGGTCTTCACATAACAACTTATCTGTTCATCAGTCAATTCTGAAAAGTACACTTTTGTTTTTTCGACGTGGAAGAATTCTTCTCCGTCAGGATATATGATGGCTAATCCTGTGACCACTACGTTCTCCTTTCCTGACAGACTGAAACCAACCAACAGTACAGCCTGTTATGCTATCAGAAGTCTAAAGGAAGAAATTAGCATTGAACAATTGAAACTGGTATATCATGCGCGAATCGAATCAAAACTTTTTTTTTATACAACTTAGAATGGCACACAAGCTGACGGCCCACCTGATGAAAAGTAGTACCCGTTGCCTATAGACATGAGCAGTACCATAGACATAACAGAGTATACTGTTTCGCCCATGATACCTCCCATGCGTTGCCATTCCTGAGGACTCAGGTGTTATTCCTCTGTACCCTGTAAATTCACGCCATATCCCATTCTTCAAACCGAAACACAGCCATGCAAACACAACTGCTTTACGATTGAAACACGAATGGGACAGAGGTACCCAAGCAATCGACTTTTGTTCAAAGTCTCTCTCTGATAAAACTACAATACAGTATCTGACTGTGGAGCAACGGCTTGAACTACAACGTCAGCAGAGCGTTTATCCTGCAAAAAAGGGCTATAAGAACTATTGTACGCATTACACAAAGAGATTCTTGTAGGGAATATTTTAAAAGCTCGCAATTTTAACGATTTCAAGTCTCTATATACTAGTTGTCCTTATTAATTACTAATAGTGCAACCGAATGGCTTTGTTGCAGTCGCATTTATTATTGGATCATGCTGTGTGCACATGTTGTGGCAAATTTACCTAACCAATACATTAATGTACTTGCATGTTATAATTTAAGTTTGTATTTGTAAACTTCTGTTATGTGCGCCTAATAAATAATATGAAATAAAATAATTATGTAAAGTCTCTTCTGAAAACTGAAACAGAGCAAGATAGAAAAAGTCGGAAGGTTACTAGGATATTACAAGGATGTTAGTACTAACTTTATACCTCGTCTGAACATTGTCAAACACGGTGCACGTCATCAGGCAGTAGTGTTATGTAATACATTTCCTGTCCAGTTGAAGATTGTACGACATTTCAATTCTTTTAAAATCAAACTACGATCCCTTTTATTGGGAAAATGCTATTACTCCATTAATGACTTTACTTGTGCTAGTGATTAACGTAAATACCGGAATTAAAAATAAATTTGACGTACATATATATTACGGATGAAGTTGACATTGTTGATTGCAAATTGCAAAAACACCAGAGGGAGACTTTGTACAAAAGTCGATTGCTTGGGTACCTCTGTCCCACTCGTGTTTCAACCGTGAAGCAGTTGTATTTGCATGGCTGTGTTTCGGTTTGAAGGGTGGGATATGGCGTGAATTTACTGGGTACAGAGGAATAACACCTGAGTCCTCAGGAATGGCAACGCATGGGGGGTATCATGGGCGAAACAGTATATTCTGTTATGTCCACGGTACTGCTCATGTCTATAGGCGACGGTTACCACTTTCCATCAGGTGGGCCGTCAGCTTGTTTGCCGTTCTAAGTTGTATAAAAAAAAAAAAAATATATTTATTATTGTTATTCAATACTTGTAATAATCAATTTAATTTAATGCTTTATTGTATGATTGTCTCTTATTTCAAAAACAATACACATTGTTCTTTAATAAATGACTAATGGATTATTAGGTTGGAGTAGGTATTATAACATTTTATTTAATACATACATACATACATATCTGTCACGCCTGTCTCCCATTAGGGTAGGCAGAAACAATGGAACGCCAAATGCTTCGATTCAAACAAACCTCTTTCGCTTCTTCCACATTCATCAATCTTGTCATACACGCTCATCGGTTACGGGTACTTTTAATTTGGCCCTTCTTCAGCACGTCGCCTATTTGGTCGACATACGTCCGTCTACGGCGGCCCCTACCGACATCTCCATTCATTCTTGCTCGATAAATCTCTTTCGTAATTCTTCTTTCATCCATCCTCTCCAAATGACCAAACCAACGCAACATTCCTTTTATTTAATATACTCGTATATAGCTGTGTGGTCCCGGCATAGAATGGGCCACGACTTCTTTCCCGTGGGTGGCGTAAGGGGCAAGTAAAGGAACTTAATGGTCGAGACATGAGGGAGCATTCCTCTTGAAATATCACTAAAACCTAACTGCGGTTGTCAAGTCGCCTGCCAAGCGTGGCAATTACTGGCAAACCTCCTTTATGGGGGAGGCTATGTGCAGCAGGGGACAGTTAATACAGTTTGATACAACAATAAAATTATATATTGCTTGTACCTTATGACGTATTTTTGAACAATAATGAAATGGTAACCCTGCGTCAGCTATCGATATACGCTAATGGGTCTCTATTCTATCATAACTTCTTAATCTAATCTAATCTATTATAAAGAGGAAATATTGGATTTTTTTGTTTATAACGGATAAATTTGAATACTTATAGTACCATTTTTTTAAATTATTTCACCTATAGAAACTTTCGTTATGTTACTTTTTTTGCAAATTGATATAATATTCGGGATTTTTGTTACAAAAAAAAGTTGTATCGTATTGCCACAAAATGAACGACAATAAAAGAAGAAGAAAAAAAGTAAGTTCTTCTGTTTCTAGTTTTCCATCTTTTTCTTATTCTGTTATTCGCCTTTAGTCTTTGTAATTACGTATCTTATACACTCATACAGAGTTTACAAGTACTAAAACTATTTAAAATTTCCAAAAACACTCCAATATCTGCAAGCTTATTTAACTTACTCCAAAAATTACATTTCTCCAAAATTACGCAAAAAGAAAAATTTTGTTTTATCTAAAATTGCAAAAAAAAAACTTAATCTGGCAACACTGGTAAACAATAAATCACCTTTTGAGCATATTGAATGCACTATAAATTTTTTTTATCTAAAATTGCAAAAAAAAAAAAAACCTAATCTGGCAACACTGGTAAACAAAGAATCACCTTTTGAGCATATTGAATGCACTATTATATTTTTGGTGCTCGCCCTCTCCTTTCGGTTTGGTGAGTATCCTATTACCGATGGTGACGATGGTGTCCGCGCCGATGACTATCGTTTTGACGTCGGACTGGTTACTCAGCCGCTCGTACACAGCTTGCGCCTTCCTGAGGGCGATCTCTTTCACAACCTTCTCGGGATCCGTTTCATCTGTCCTCTCACCGCAATGAGACTCTCTAAATTCCACAAATCCCAGACCCTGCATAATAAAAAGTGTCATACAATCACACTAAGCAAGTTATATATTATTTTATATTACATTTTCACTTTGATCTGGCACTGCTTAGTATTTTTTAGTCACACAAATTTATTAAAATTTAATACGTAAAGTTCGGGGGTGGGGGGAAGGGATTGTTAGTAGTGGAGACTAAGAATCCTATTGCTAGCAATATACCCAACCAGGTCGACCTCCTCGCGTATCCCCCTGGAAACTACCATGGTTAATTCCTGATGAATCCATCATGATGCTCTAACTGGCCTGTTTTCATTCTCATCGATCACCCTTCACTGGTGCTCCGCCAGCGTATCCCGTTAGCGCAGGCGGGGTTACCATACCATTTACACCTTTTAAAAAAAAATGTGAAGTTCAAGTTATTGAAAAAAGCAACCGCTGAGTTTCTCGACTGTTCTTTTTAAGTGAAATTACATTCCGAATGGGGCGGTAGAAATATAAAAAAAAACAGCTATTCAAAAATGTTAAACATTTTAATCATCATATCAGCCTTTAACTGTCCACTGCTGGACATAAGTCTTGGGGGCCTTCGCCAGTAGTTGCTACGCTTGATAGGCGGTTTGGCAATCGCAGTTATGCTTTAGAGATGTTTCAAGAGGGGCGCTACTGCCCATCCTCGCCCTCCCTTAGTCGCCTCTTACGACACCCACGGGAAAGGAAGGGGTGGCTTATTCTTACGTCGGGACTATACAGCAAAAAATGCAATGTTATTGAAAAAAAAAAACATTTTTATTTTTTTTATCAAGCAACGCAAATTGGCCCGGGAACTGAACCTAGGACCTCATTTACGCAAAGCGACATGCCCACTATTGCGCCAATGGAGGTTGCAAAGATACATAAATGCCTAAGTGACTAGCGACTGTTTAAAATGATCGTAGCACTCCGTAGACCTGCGAACAGCTACGACGAGGTAGCTTCAATTAAATTATGTTTGTCGTAAATTTTGCGGGTAACACTTTTTTTATTAGCATATCTATCTTTAATATTAGTATATCTATTAAACGACGTCAGCAACAGAGATTAGACAATACAAAGTATTTATTGTCGTACATGATAAAAGTGAATTTTGTTTTATTCGTTTGTACTAGAAGTTTAATAGTAGTAGTTTTATCGCATCCTAGAATGGCCACCACAAAATTCTGATAGGCACAGTTCACTCAGACACTTTTTCTCGTTGTCACTTTCGATTGAGTGCTCAGGAGGTTGGCTGCATTGTTTCACTGGATAGCTATGTAAATATATATACTTTCGAATTTGCTTAATTTGTGACGTAATTCATGTTTAAGCGACTTCAAAAGAAGTAGATTTCATCGTTTGTGACATAATTTTTTTCAAACTAAATCCTATTTACACCAGTAACATATTAATTTTAAGACGATTGAACATACTAAAGATATAATATATTTGAATTTAGAACGATTGCGCGTTCTAAGATAAATTTGTTCAAAGTGTTGTCACGTGAAATGAAAAAGTTTTAAAACAAAATATATTTTCAGATAAACTATATAATAAAATGTCGTTGTCTGTGTATAATTTAATATTTTTCGCAATTAGTTTTATTGTAAATACTGTGTAATACAACTCACTTTTTCCTCCAGGGTTTTTTTGCGGCTTAGTGAACCAGTTGCGAATACAACTTGTATATTGTTAGTATTCAGTAGCGTCGCTAGGGGCTCCAACCACACCATCTTTGAAGGGCGAACAAGTTCTGAAACTTATTAATGGAACAAGCTTTAAAACTAATTAATAAATAAATAATTTGGTGTTTATATTACATCTAGATATTTCACACGTTACCATATTAATTTTTACTTAATTATATTTAAAAACGTAACAGAATTTATTTTCTTCTTAACTCCCGCCAAAATGTATAAGTTTATATTGTGTTGGCGAATGATCTACTTGTTGATATCGCTTTAACACAGACAAAAGTTATTATGATTTCGTTCTTTTAATTTACCAATCAATATATTTTTAATCTGACCTATTTCAAAATAAAAAAAGAAAAACTAAATTAACGGCGTTAAGTTCCTTGACCAATAAGTCTCAATAAAAAAAAAAGAAGATGATAATTGAGAGTAATAGACTTCATATTTTTTTTAATTTTTGAACATTAAAATTAAAAATAAAGATTCTATTTGCTGGAGTCTAAAAAAAATATTTCGTATTAATTTACTTATTTATGGTATTAATTGTTACTTTTTGGCTGATGGCTTTCGCCAAAGTCACAATAAACGAAAAAAAAAATTTATGGTACAAATTTAAAATGACTATATCATATAAACCAAACTAAATCAGAATAGAATATATTATTAAAGTAGGCAAGAAAATTATATTCCAATTATTATTGTGTTATTTAAATAATTATTATCATTATTACAAATAAACTTAGTATTAAAGGCAATGCGAATTTAATACCTACCTTTCAGGAACGAGTATCAAAAAGTCCTACGATTAATTTGTCCTAAATATCTCTTATGTCATATAGCCTAGTTATAATTATTACATATATATATATATATATATATATATATATATATATATATATATATATATGTAATAATCACATAGTGTAATAACATCAGTATAACCTATACTGACAGGCTTACATACAATATTATATCTAGATATAATATTATCACAAATTTTCATATTAATCACTAATTTCGATAAGAAATAGAACATTTAAAGAATATTTGGCCCATACTACGCCGGGACCATGTGGCAAAGTTTAAATAATATGCATTTATAATTCTGTGGTTTTTTTTATCAAGGATTAATATTGTTCTTATAATAAATAACATATTGGCTCATTACTGTTCTCACTTCATTACCGCAGTTCTATTTTAATCCTTTATCTTGAACTTTGTGTGTCACTCTATCTATCTATATATTCAGCCTACATCAACTCATCAGCGTGCCATGCTGGGCATGGTCAAAATGGTGCCCAAGAGAGGGACAGAGGACACTCGGTGGACCACCAACCTGATGGACGGATAACATAGTGCGGAACGCGAAAGCAGTGAAGGTAGTTTTAATGTATGATAATGAAATGGTAACCCTGCCTGTGCTATCGGTATACATTGACAGGCCACCTGTGAGTGATGATAAGTGAGGATGAAGCAGGTCAGTTGCTCATCATAACGAATTCATTGATAATTAACCAGAATGGTTTCCAGGGGGAATCATGTGGAAGTCGACCTGATAGTGTATATAGCTAGCAATGGAGCAGTCAGACACCATTCATATTCGTAAGATATGTATACACAAAGAATAATAAATACTACACATATAAATTACACAAAATACATAAACCCTGTAAACATATATTTATAGAAATAAATATAACATAAATAATACATATAACACACATATATATATACACATACACGTGTACATATATATATATATATATATATATATATATATATATATATATATATATATACACATATACATACACGTGTACATAATACGTCAGCATAGTGGAAGTGAAATTACCACAAATAAAGAAAGCAGAATGTATCACAAATAAAGAATACAATTCCGGGATCCCGAATGACAAAGGCAAAAGACGGTTATATATGCAGCTATAATAATTATATGTAAATTTATTGTATAATTAAAAAAAAAAAAAACAAATAATTAAAAATAATTTTTAAATGACCATAGACGCAAAAAATGAAATTATGTCACCGTTAATCAATTGTAATACAAGATTTCTTATTCTTATTTCAAACCTCTACGAAAAACTTCTTCTATATTACTAGTAATATTTTCATTGACATTCGGGATCCCAGGATTGTATTTTCTAATCACAAAGCAGTATTCAGTAACTACCCAATCCTCAGACGTACACATTACTAATTGGTAATTAATTTTTTTTTAATAATTTTTTTCTTACCACGACACGAAACACGAGTACTGTTCAGCACTTATTGGTATAATAAGTATAATATACAACACGAGTTTATATACACAAAACTCAACACGATCGCGCGCAACATCGCGCGCCAATCCGCCTTCGAACTTGCATATGCACTTCATCAAACGTTCTATTCTCTTACATTTATGGTTAACTAATGTTGCTTTGTTTCCATAGAATACCATAATTAGAGTGGCAATCAAATATGTAATTTTATACATTTATTATTACTTTTTTGTTAAGAATTCTCTCTCTCTCAGTCGTACACTCTTGGCATAATGACGGTGGATCGTCGATGAGGCCCTCCTTCGCGATTGAGGTCCTCGCAATATGTCTCCATCTACTTCTGTTCGCCGCCGAGCGAGAGCATTCCACAATAGATTGCTGTGTGGCTGTTTTGATGAGGTCAGTCAAGAATTCTAGCGGCTGGTATTTGGCTTTTGGCTACAATAGAAAATCAGTTTTGCTCTTTTGAGGGCAAAAGCAATGAACTGAGTGGTGACTATTGTGTAACACACATTCTGAGGCATATTCATGAAAAATTATGTTACCTCTTTTATGTACTTTCCTTTTTTTTTAAGTACATATGTATCAATTAATGTAATGTTCTTCTTAATGTTCCTGGAGAGAACAATGTAAATATATCGCAGTTAACATTTTATGAGTTTGGTAGATTCGGTCCCTCTACTCTTGGTCTTAAACCAGTCACTAAGGGGGGAAAGGGATTGTTAGTAATGGAGACTGAGAAATTTATTGCTAGCAATATACCCAACCAGGTCGACCTCCTCGCGGTTCTCCCTGGAAACTATCATGGTTAAAATCTTAGAACGTGTAGTCTACTTACAAGTCTTTGAGTATCTAGAGACAAATGGGATGTTGCCTGACTTGCAATCTGGTTTTAGGAAAAAACGCAGCACAGCTACAGCTTTGTCAGATGTGGTAGATAATATCTTGGAGGCTCGGGATGATGGCAGAGGTACATTATTGTGTCTTTTAGATTATTCTCGGGCGTTTGATTCCATTCAAGTACAGCTGCTTCTTTCTAAACTGGCTTATTATGGTTTTGACACAGGGGCAATAAATTGGTTTCATAGCTACCTTTCAAAAAGAAATCAATTTGTAGAGGTTAAAAGGGAGGATGAGTATGATAAAGGGAGGATGATTAAACTAAATTTCTAATGTAGGTAGTATATTTATTTATTTAACAATTATTATATAAATAGAGAGATATTATATTTATGTACTATTATAATATATATTAATATTTTTGTGATGGGAAGTAGTAGATATGGGCCGTCAGCTTGTTGGCCATTATTAGTTGCATAAAAAAAGATGTAACTATGTACATATCTACACTATTATTATAAAGAGGATGTATTTTTTTTATGCAACTTAGAATGGCAATCAACCTGACGGCCCACCTGATGGAAAGTGGTAACCGTCACCTATAAACATGAGCAGTACCATGGACATAACAGAGTTTCGCCCATTTATTCACCCCATGCGTTACCATTCCTGGGGACTCAGGTGTTATTACTCTGTACCCTGTAAATTCACTGCCATATCCCACACTTCAAAACGAAACACAGGCTTGCAAACACAACTGCTTTACGGTAGAAATACGAATGGGACAGAGGTGCCAAAGGGAGACTTTGTACAAACGATATTTGTACAAAGTCTCCCTTTGGTAAATATATCCCTCTGGCAATAAAAAAATCTCACAAGCGAGAATTTACTATAAGGATAAGAAAAAATGGTGACACGTTCATTCATACTCGATCACACAATAATAAACTCTTTATTGCGCACAGTAGAGATGTATACAAGGAGTATTTATACAGAATGTGCTTACCGCTAAAAGCAATCTCTTACAGACAACCTGGGAAATCAAAAGACTATCTTGTATGTCCCTAAAGTGAACACACGAGAAAGGTTTTTTTTGATGGGTGAAAATGGAATGGTACCCCGCCTGCGCTACCAGTATACACTGGCGGAGCACCAGTGAAGGGTGATAGATGAGAATGAAAACAGGCCAGTTAGCCCATCATGATGAATTCATCAGGAATTAACCGTGATAGTTTCCAGGGGGAACCGCGAGGAGGGCGACCTGGTTGGGTATATACACGATAAAGGTTTATTATCTACACTTTATTGTTTTTAACTTACAAATATACACATCATCATATCATCGTCATCATATCAGTGGTTAATTTTCTAGTAGTACTGTTGAACAGAGAGTACTCCTTGGGAGTTTTTGGAAGTAGTTGCCACGCTTGGCAGGCTGATTGGCAACCACAGTGTTTTTAATACATAATACTGGAATGGTAACCCCGCCTGCGCTAACGGTGTACGCTAATGGGGCACCAGTGAGTGATGATAGGTGAGAATGAAAAAGTAGTTCAGTTGGCCCATCGTGATGAATACACCTGGAATTTAACACGGTGGTTTCCAAGGGGGGTTGATTTGACATGGTGTATTGCTAGCAATGGGAGTAGTAGTTCCCATGGCAACCGCAGTTGGATTCTGGTATGTTTTAGGAGGGACGATGTTATCTATCCGTCGATAGGGAGGCCGCCATCTCTGTGTACGAAGAGTGCAGCGCACACAGGGGCTCAGGCAATAGGGGATGAAATACCAACGCCAATTATTCAAATTATATACGACAACATGTTTTTTTTTATGGGTGACACCTGCACTAACGGGATACGCTGGCGGAGCACCAGTGAAGGGTGATAGATGAGAATGAAAACAGGCCAGTTAGCCCATCATGATGAATTCATCAGGAAATAACCATGATAGTTTCCAGAGAGAACCGCGAGGAGGTCGACCTGGTTGGGTATATTGCTAGCAATGGGATTCTCAGTCTCCATTAGTAACAATCCCTTTCCCCCCCAAAATAATTTATAGTTGAGACCATGCCAAAATGTTATTCAGAATATTATACATTGCTGTTTTTTGGTATTACCTAGTATTTCATTATAAAATATTATTATTTCTTTATTTATACATAATACTTTATGACATAATATAATAGTATACATGATATTAAATGAAAAAAAAAACTGGGGAAAACTTATATATTTTCCAGAAAGAATTTCCACTGGTTTTCAGTTCAGAATAATGGTCTGAATTCACTGTTTCAGTTTATGCCAACCTGTCCCTTACATCCTGTATTAGTACAGTAGTACAGTCAATGAAGGCAAAAATCAGCTACAACCACCGATTTCGTTGAACCTCCATAGATTTGGATGAAAATTTGGAATTGAGCATGTTTTACTTTACTCTAAAAGTGGCATATGCTCGTCTTGCCCTTTTTTCATTTTTGGGGTGAAATCCACCCCTTTTTTTTTAAATCGGGAAAAATGCAGATTTAACCATTTTAATTATGTTTAATTAGATAAAATAAATGTTTTTTTTTTTTTTATATTTATATGCATGATTAATGATTTTAAATCATTTTTCAACCTTTTTAGCAACCATCCCTTAAATCGAAAATCATTAAAAAATATTTTTTTTCAAATCGCATATTAACATTCCATAAACAGTTTGTTTGATATTTATGATATAATTTTTGGTTGACAGTGAAATTTCAACCCTTAAAAACCGGATATACAGTGATTCTGCAATAGAGGGATACCCTATTGCAGAATCACTGTAAAAAATGGTTTCAAAAACTTTAACCTATTAAATTAGTACATTACTGAAGTGAAATCTTATTTACGGAGTATTAAAATATTAATTTATTTATTGCGAAAAATCACCCTTAAAAGCTACCCCTTGTCATAATAATAATGGAATATTTTTTTTATCAGCTTTAATTAGTTTATACTTTTTAATGGTTAAGATAAATTTTATTAATATATTTCAAACTTTATTAATATTACACACACCCATACATGTGTATTTAGTAAGCATATGTACCTATTGACACGTTTTCCTATAGTATATGTGTAGGCGACGCACCGCGTACCTCGTAATTATTTTATATTTAAACTTTGTAATTTGTTTTAATGTAACCACTAGCGCCATCTGTTGTTCAACACCGGTCTGTTACAATGCATATCAAATCTCTGCTCCAAAAATTTTTCTAACAAAATATAATTTTATATATATATATATATATATATATATATATATATATATATATATATATATATATATATATATACAATAACTCCGTTAATTTTTAAGATATCAGGTTCATCCATAAACTTTCAAGAGATGTAAGATCACCTTAAATAAGATTTTTTAATGCCCTTATTTTTTAAAAGATAAAGGGTTAAAGGGTCGCGGTTACATAGTTCTCGCAGTAAAAGTTAGGCTTTGAACGTCTCTATCTCGGTTACTTTTCATCCTATAAAAATAAAAAGAAAACTAAAATCTTTGTTAAAAATAAACTTAAATTTTGTTATTTATCATTTTTACGAATATCTTATATTATTTGAAGTTAAGAAAAGAAAATTTACGAAAACTTGAAAAAAATTCGATTTTATTAAATCACACTTTTTCAAACATAAGCATTCACACCAGAGGGAGACTTTGTACAAAAGTCGATTGCTTGAGTACCTCTGTCCCATTCGTGTTTCAATCGTAAAGCAGTTGTGTTTGCATGGCTGTGTTTCGGTTTGAAGGGTGGGATACGGTGTGAATTTACTGGGTACGGAGGATAACACCTGAGTCCTCAGGAATGGCAACGCATGGGGGGTATCATGGGCGAATCAGTATACTCTGTTATGCCCATGGTACTGCTCATGTCTATAGGCGACGGTTACCGCTTTCCATCAGGTGGGCCGTCAGCTTGTTTGCCATTCTAAGTTGTATAAAAAAAAAATTCTAATCCGGGGAAAATATTTGAGGTCATCACTTCTGCTAAAAAAAAAGAAAGCCCTTTAGGGATAACCATAAATTTGAATTTTTGTGGAAATGGTGAATGTTTTAGTTAATGTTTTCTCCAAAAAAAAATTCGAAAGTGTTATCTTATTTTTATCATAACTTGTTCAATTTTGATGCTATTAACTTATTACAATGCATGTAAATTATTATAGTACATTAGAAAGGTATTTCTGAGTACTTTAAGAAGTGTTCAAGAAGGATATGTCATAAAATGCATCGGTTTGTGATTGGGGGGAGAAGGGATTGTTAATAATGGAGATTAGCAACCTCATTGCTAGCAATAAACCCTATTAGGTCGACTTCCACGCGATTCCCCCTGGAAACCATCATGATTGATTCGTTGTTGAATTTGTCAGGATGGGCTGACCTGCTTCATTCTCACCTATCATCCCTCACTGGTGCCCCGCCGGTGTATACCAATAGCGCAGGCGGGGTTGCCATTCCATTATCACCCATTAAAAAAGAAAATGCATCGGTTTCTTGTTATTTAAGCATTTAAGTACTCGCTGAAAAAATATATATATATACAATTACCTATATCTCACTTGAAATTAATATTAGAAGGTTTTCAAAATAGGGATTTGTTTGTTTTTTTTATTACTTTCAATTTTGGTAATGGCACATTTTTTGTAAAAACTCATAGTTTTTGAGTTATTTATGGAAAACCGTCTTAAAACATGTATTTTTATCACGAAATATCACAATCTTTTATCTTTAATAACTCAGAAAGTATTTATTTATTCTAAAAACTTTATATAAAAAATATTGCTTAGAACTTGTCTCTCTATCGATTCCTGGGGTCATTTTTATTAAAATAATTTTCACCCCCGTGAAGGGGTGGCATTCACCCCAGGGCAAAAGCGCAAGTTGTTATGCCACTTTTGTTTCTTAAGGTATCCCCCATCTACTCACCAATTTTCATGAAAATCGATGGAGGTTCGACGAAACCGGAGGTTTATTGACTACTATATAGGTATATAGTTATCATTATTTTAAACATGTATCGATAATTTATCTTGTCCGTCGCTATTGTTAAAGGTGCATTACTTGTTTGCAAGCTATACTTGATAAGTAGGTAGATTTCTAAGAACACTAACTAAATATGAGTAACGATTTCCTTTTCTTTATTACATATGACGTTATTAATATCTATTGACATGGTTATTGCTTTCTATCAGGTGTGGAACGGATATCAAAGTGGGTTCTCTCTCTTTTCGTCCTCTTCATTACTGAAGGTCGTGTCCTTGAAAGGTGTCGCAGGGCAAAGTGGGTTCTTACCCACTTTGCCCTACTATTCTTATGTAATGTAAGAAAGACTCTGTTTTCCACACTTAGCCTCTCATTTGGGCCGTTGTGCGTGGGCAAAGTGGGTTAGGTTACGAAAATGGAATTATTAATCAGTTCGCGTCATCAGCTTACGCTGAGGATGAAGGTCACTTGGCTCATCGTAACGAATTCACAGGAAATCAACCAAGGAAGACCACACGGAGGTATATTTGTAGGAATGATAGTGGAATGGTAACCCTGTCTGCGCTTAGGGGGGAAAGGATTGTTAGTAATGGAGACTGAGAATCCTGTTGCTAGCAATATACCCAACCAGGTCGACCTCCTCGCAGTTCCCCCTGGAAACTATCATGGTTAATTCCTGATGAATTCATCATGATGGGCTAACTGGCCTGTTTTCATTCTCATCTATCACCCTTCACTGGTGCTCCGCCAGTGTATCCCGTTAGCACAGGCGGGGTTACCATACCATTTTCACCCATCAAAAAAAAACCCCCGTCTGCGCTATCAGTATACACTGGCGGGGCACCAATGAGGCATGATAGGTGAGAATTAAGCAAGCTAGTTAGCTCATCGCGACGAATTCAATAATAAAACAATATCAATGGTCAGTTCTTCACCTTGAAGAATCACCCATCAATGAATCACCGCATGGAGATTGATGCGTGGGTAATCCCTATTACTAACAATTCAAAACAGGATACATTTTTAGCAATGGGACGATTAAATCCCACTACTGATTATCTACTTCTCTTTGCTATCACCTCATAAAATTGATGATAACTTTTAAGAATCAATATCGGCGATAAACTGTTAGAATAAAATACGTTATACGCATGTTACAATAAAATACCAACCAAGGTAACATTTCAAGGGGGGGGGGGAAGGGATTGTTGGCAATGGAGTTTAACAGCCCCATTGCTAACAATATGCCCTATTAGGTCGACCTCCACGTAGTTCCCCCTGGAAACTATCGTGAACAATTCTTGTTGAATTCGTCACGATGGGCTAACTGACCTGCTTCATCCTCACCTATCATCCTTCACTGGTGCCCTGCCGGTGTATACCGATAGCGCAGGTGGGGTTACCATTCCATTATCATACATTAGAAAAAAAAAAATTTAAAAGGAAATATATAAACATCCTCATCTCAGCTATATCTTTGAAATAAAGTTTGTTTAGTAGGTATACATATATATATAGGTATACTAAAAACATTTTCCGTTGGCACCCTTATATCCAACATAGAGTCTATTTGACGTAAATGGGAATTTAATTAAGCGATTGTGTCCTTTTGTGATTAAGAAACAGTTTGGAAATCATTAAACGAGGAGATTTGAGATTAAATATAAATTAATACAGATTTGGTTCCTTCTGTTTAAAATTGTATGCCTATTTTTTTTCTTATCCAATTAAAATTTGTTTGTTCGTTTTTGTTTTTAGTGAATACTTACCTACATGTTATTTTTTTAGCTTTGTGAAACAATATTTACTACAGTTCGAAAATGAAACTTTTAAAAATGAGTAACAATTTAGTACGTAAGTACATTATACTGAGTCTATGGTAACATTGTAACAGCTGCAAAAAGCACTTAATCATGATTAATTTGGAATAATTCAATTATACACAAGATCTATCATATATTTTCTTGCCTTTTTTGGTCTACAACACATTAAAATGCAGCAAGTAACGTTAGCTGATACATCAAGAGTTTTTACGCAACTTACGACCAAAGTCTATGACGTACGACTGCTTTATGTATCTGTACCTAGGTGCTAGTCATAAATGGAGTTACAGGTTCGCAGTGGCGTAACAATAGGGCGGCAGGGCTGGCAAAATGCCACGGGCCCTCGACCTAAAAGGACCTCGGCTGAAGAGGCCGCGAGCTCAATTTTTTTTTACATTGTACCTGAGTACTTTATTTTACTTAAAAAGTATTTTTTTTTACTGATAGGGCCCCATCAAAAGAATTTGCCACAGACCCGAAATGGTATAGCTACGCCACTGCAGGTTCGAATCCGGAACTTTATTCCTCGATCGGAGCATTCTGAAGAAGTAACTTCTCCAAATTAGCATTACCTAATCTAAATGTTCATTTACACAGTCAATTTGATTCCAATTTGCACCTTGGTGGTTAAAAACTTGATCTAATTAAATGCATTCGGGAAAATGAAAACAAAGTAGTCGGTACTAATACAACAATTTATTTACATAATGTTCTCTTTAAAAAAAAAAAACTCGATGCGAGGTATCAATTTGTAATACCTATTAGTAATAATAAAAACTTTATAAAAAAAAATTGTGCATTGCAACAATATGCCAGTAACAGGCAACAATCACAATTCTTTATCATGATAAAATTGTTTATTGAATCCGTATTTTTTTTTTGTTCTTTGGCTTCGGTGATCTGTTATTCGCGCTATACAAAGCATAGAACACGACTCTTTATACACATGGGATCGTTGTAGATATATGTCATACAGCTGCTGACTATGTGTCTATATTGTAAATACCACACTGAAGTGAGAACGCTATATAACTCTCTCTCATACATAACCTTATCACAGAAAATAATACAACTTAACCTAGTATTTGAATTGACCACAGTTCGCATCGCGCCACTTTTCATTAATAATACTTGGAACATTGATTAAATGTAGATTTAAGAAAGATTACAAACAATAATTAAAATCAACGATATCAGACATATTGTTGTAATCCGGCTCGAAGGATCAAAAGACGTATGGTGAATTGTGAAGTTCACGCTTTATATTTTAACAGATCAAAGTATTCTATACTATCTGTAACGGTCCAGTCCAGTTCCAGCCACAATCAATTGGTAGAATATCAGTAAGAAATACCGAGATGGGATTGAGAACGAAACGTGATCGACATTATACTGAGTATCTAGCTTAAATCGTACAAATTGAACAAGTAAAAAAGTTGTTACGTTTCGTATTTTACGGAATTATTTGATGTAGCCCACACATCACACATTACAACACCGCTAGAAACTATTTGAGGTTGCCAATCCCAGGCGGATTGGCAACTAAGTGTGGCAATTACTGGCAAAACCTTATGGGAGAGGCTTACATATGTTCAGCAGTGGACAGTTAACGGCTGTCAAAATGTATTAAAATTGATAAAGAAAATGTAAAAGTTATTAAATACTTAATAACATTATATGCTCAAGACTTATATCTAAAAAGCCTCCCCTAGACAAGGTACAAATGAACTTAAATCGCTTCGGTTAGCACTCATATGTGAAAGAACAGGATAGCGCATGTCGCCATCTCATTCTAACTAAGGGCCTCGCTAGCGTTAACGATTCTATCAATAGATTCGTTTGTATTTTGTCTAGGGCAGCAGGTGTAGATACATTAATACTGTACAAACTTCCGGGCACTTTGTTGCTTCAACATGAAGCGTGTGTCAGCTGGATATTTCACTTACTTGGTATAAAATAATGCATCAATTGACTAGCAATCACTAGAACTATTTAAATAAACAACTCTACGCAATTTTTATTGTATATGGTCATATATTAAACTGGTCAATTGAATGTAATTTTTTAATTTCATATTATACATTTTGTAATATGAACTCAAAACATATTTATAAAAATAGTTTTATATTTTATATATATGTATATATATATATATATATATATATATATATATATATATATATATATATATATATATATATATATATATATATATATATATATATAATGGGTATATCTTAAACTAAATGTAATAATATAGGTACCTATAATATATTAATTGATCCAACAAACATTTTGCCCTCTACCGCCATCTATCGGGATAAAAATTATACTATCTCTGAAGTTGGAGCAAAAGACACAAAATCACAAATTGTCATTACAAACAGGTGAACAATTACGGAGACATGTGTGAGACTTCGAAAAATTTCCCAATTCAGTTGATTTCCTTTTTTTATGCTTCTTGCTTCAGAAATCCGCCATTTACAAATAGATTTGGAACATTCTTTTTTATCAGAAAGTATATATTTTCAGATTAGTGGTATAGAAATTTTATCGAAATCAATACAATAGTTTTAAAAACAAAACAACTGGTTTTGATAATTGAAGCTGGTGATCTTTTATTTGGAAAAAATCTATTATTAAATTTGTTTTCGTGATTATTTTTCCATTAAGAGATTTGGTTAGTTCGAGATAAATTTATGTTAAATACTAGACCGATGGCTAGTTTTATGAGCATAAGGTCTAAAATTTAAATCCCAGGTCGTACTGATGAGCTTAAAAAAGGTCTATATTGTACAATCGTACAATTTGGTTCAACATCAGCGCCATCTATCGATTGACGCAAAAACGAAATATTTTAAATGGGGATTTGTGTATTTCATAACAATATGGAATAAACCTATTTTGATATTAGTATATTATTTGTATTATATGTTATATCATAAATTTAGCTCGAAAGAAATAAACAAAATCTTTCCATACCAAAAGTAGCTATACGAGGGTAAAGTGAAAAGTTCTCGGCCTGACAATGAAAAAATGCGATTTTCAGTAAAAAAATATTTTTATTTTTCTATATGGTCTCCCTTGATTTCAACACACTAGATCCAGCGTTTCTCTAACATCAGTATTTTTTTTTCCAGAAGTGACAGTCTGGAAGGTTGTGAAAGTATTTATTTATGACTCTCTTAACTTCTTTATTGGACGTGAACTGCTTCCCAGAAACAAATTTCTTCATGTTTGGGAATAGACAGAAGTTTGAGGATACCAAATCAGGAGAATAACAAAATCCTGCAGTTTTCCCATCGCCAACACACAAGAGTGTGTTGGCGATGGGAATGAGGTGCGTTGTCCCGGTGAAAGATGATTTGGAAATTCGTGTAAATAAACTATTTGAGAGAACAAGTTCAGACTTGTCATACGAACTAATGACACATGCACCTAGGCAAGAAAAATACATTTTTGCCGATTAAAACGCCATTTCTGTGTCAGACTGAGAACTTTTCACCTTACCCTCGTATGGGGGTTATTACACTTAAAGTATCTAGTCGTGTAGGTCGGTATAGAATAGGCCACCCCTTTCTTTTCCGTGGGTGTCATAAGAGGCTACTAAGGGAACTTGTGGCGGAGGGATAGGCAGCAGCATCCATTCATATTTTTTAAGATAAATCACTAAAAGTCAAACTGAGGACGCCTACGCTCCTGCCAAGTGTGGCAAAATCTCCCCTTATGGGGCTATGTTCAGCAGTAGACAGTTAAAGGGTGATACAACAACAATAACACTATCAAACATGATTGCTGACATTTAAATCCATCAATACATTTATTAAGCTAGTGACTTCATTAAAACCCCTAACATTTACAGATGTGAAAGTGAGTTTGTTTGCCATCTCCTTGGTGCTATCTGAGGAATGATAGACTAATTTTCATACCTTTTAATTTCATGGTACCTCATCAGTGCAAACTAATAGCGCAGGTCTGGTTACTGTTCTATTTTCATCCACTATAAATCACTATTACATAATTTAGAGTTTAGGAATAAGGGGTATTTGTATTCTGTAACTTATTTTAGACACCCCCAGATACTGTATCGGCAGGTGCTAACCCAGATTCTGGGGATGACGAATAGCTCATCCATAAAGAGGATGGATTCACATGGTCAACTTCGTCCCATATGTTAAATAATACTTGTTGTATTTCCCGTTTGGCCCTTTTGACATACATTATGTCACTAGCATCCAAAATGGCGTTGAGTTCTGATTCAATGAAATGGCAAAATGAACTAATATTGCTATTTGTTAATTGTCTTTTCTTTGCTATTTGAGACATATCCCTTATGGTGCCCATGCCTTGCATTAGTTTGTTGTCATCTGATATATGGTTTCTTTGCATATACTTTGTTTTCTTCTTCAGTTTTGTTCCACTAGGCATTTCCTGAAAATAATCATTAGGCACATAATTAAGAAAATGTTTTACAGGTGTTATAGTAGATACCTATCAAGTATTACGACACACCCTCAACGGCGATCGGATCGGACCACCTAGCACGACGCAAGAAGGTGCGCTACCGAGAAAGACACCTGCGTCGAGTCAGCATTTCAATTCCCGCAGCAAAAATACCCATTTCCTTTATGTTTGATTTTATATAACTTCACTTACGGATCACACATCGATCTGAAGACATTTATTATTGTAATAATTAATTTTAGAATTAAATTTAATTATATTTATAAAATGTTTTTTTTTTTTGGGTCTTCCGCCAGCGACTTCAATAACTCAGGTTTCAATATATTTACAGATTTTAAAATGAGCATTTGGGTATCCTATTAATATTATATGTATATTCAAAATTTGTAATGATGATGATTGAGATGGATGAATAGATGTTAATCTTTTACATAAAAACTATTCAATGGATTTGAATTAAATTTAGTACATGGGTAGTTTATATCCTAATTTAACACATAGTATACTCTATGTTCTAAATCTGACACTGGCAAAGCTGTGGATACAGATAGTCTTAAATAAATAGGTTGAGAAATCTACTTTCTGATATTTCTACCCTATAGGATTCAATCCAAATCTCTCTACTATTAGGCCAAATGTGTTCAAAATTACACCATGGATGGAATAAGTTTATAAATAATATAATTCAGTCCCGTGTTGTGGTTTCTTGACGGAACTTTATTTCGAAACTAGTCACATGTATAAAAAATAAAAACATTTTAATAAAATCATTGAAAGAAGTACAAGTATTTTGAATAATATTATATAAACAAGTTTATATAATCTTAGAGCCATTTTTTTCAAATAATGACAAATGATGAGTAATAATGAATTTTGAAAAAAAAAAAATGGCCGTTGAAGATTCATGTACCATTATTCCTTCAGCTGTTGAAAGAAAAAATTGGTTTGTTATGTTAGTATCAATATTGTGAGTTTGTCTATAATCTGATGCATGATCAGTGACAAGTAAACAAATAGTATGTAGCATAAACAAAAAGCGGTGTTATCATCATAAAAACACCTAAAAATTAAGTTGATGGTTTTTTTTATACAACTTAGAATGGCAAATAAACTAACGGATCACCTGATGGAAAGTGGTATCCGTCGCCTATAGACATGAGCAGTACCATGGACATAACAGAGTATACTGTTTCGCCCATGATACCCCCCATGCGTTGCCATTCCTGAGGACTCAGGTGTTATTCCTCCATACCCAGTAAATTCACGACATATCCCACCCTTCAAACCGAAACACAGCCATGCAAACACAACTGCTTTATGAAAGGTGTTTTGAAACAACTATATAAATGAACTTACAGTATCCATTGTTTGATTTTGTGAGCTAGTTCCAGAATCATCATCATAGTTGGCGAGAGGGTCTTCCTTCATGATAGTCATCTGATCTTGGCAGCTGGATCCTGAATCATCATCCAAGTTTGATTTAGAAGAATCTGCATTTGTTGATTTATTTAAGAATTGGAGCAAAGGATACCAGTATGCTGCAGGTTGATAGTCTTCTCCTTCACTTTTTGATTTTGTAACCTGAAAATTATTTGCTATTAGGAGTACATACTGAAAACAAGTAACAATGTAAACTAAATAAACATTGTTTCACAATAAAGGAAACCTATGCCTATCTTAATAAAATCATAGTAAGATAAAATTAAAAGAACAATCTTGAAAAATAAATAGAGACTTCTACTACGAAACAGATTTTGATGCATTTTTTTATAGATAGTGATTCAAGAGGAAGGTTTATATGTATAATACATAATATAGTAGAGAAACATTGATAATTTTAGAGGTTTCTAATGTTATGTAATATAATGGGAGTTAGCATCAGCATTGCACCCCTGCAATGCCAGGGCTGAGGGCTAGTTATTTATAAATCTTAAAAATTATTTTAAAAAATAGAAGACATTAACAGATTATAATTTGATTAATTAATTCTTAAATAAACATTTGGTATGTGGTTGTGGAGCCTATGGATGCAACCCTGATATACAGGTGTCTGTTTAGGTACTGTAAATTTTTAGAGTACAAGTAGATATTGAGTTACTGTATCTAATTTTACTGCTATATCTCACATTTTAATTCAGAATATGAGACAGAGACATTTATGCAGATAATATTGTAGTCTTCCTTTCAGCAAAAATTTAAGGAGAGATCTTATCAAAATAAACTTTTGCTTTGATATAATATCAATGACGTACCTTCATCTTCTCTGCCATATACTGAGATCGCAAACTGTTTAGTTTTCTTCTTATATTCGCAACAACACAGACTTTGCCCGTTTTTTCAGTTATTATCTCTGCAAATTTAACTAATGCCGCCAGCCGCTTGTTTCGATTTTTGTAATCAGGATGCAAGTTGTCGTATAGAAATTCATTTTCTTTATAAAGTGATATTAAAGTTATGGTTGTCTCAATATTCCAATCATAAGAAACCATTGTATAACTTTTGAAATTGATTAAAATTTATAGAGATTTATACCATATAAATTGCCAATAATCCAAAGATAATATTTATTACTTAGATAAAAAAGGAAACAAAGTTTTGATTGGAACTATGTTGTACAGATAATTTATTTATAATATTTATTGACAAGGCAATCAATAAAAAACAGCAGGCTGTCAAAAAGTCTTTTTTTTTAGTACGTTTGTTCCGTAGTGGAACAGGCTAAGTTCGGAGATCATGCTGCCTAGTCTTCAATATGATAAATTGTCTGGAATTCAGAAAGTCAATCTTAAATATCAATATACCTCGGACTAGAGAGTATTCGTAAAAAAAGAATACTTGGAATAATCTTTGCTTAGGATTGCATCAAGTCGCAGATTGACGATTATGCTTGATCTTTGTTATAGTTATAAAAAAATACTGTACGTGAAACTACTGTCTCATGGATCAATTTGAACTAAATTTATTATAATTTTAAATTAAATTTGTTATAGTTTTATTCATATTGGTCTTTAGAATAAAAATTTCTTTGTAATATTAAAGTTAAAACTTTTAATTTTAGAAATATGGTAGCGAAATGGCACTTTAAATTGACCTTAAGATTATAGATTAAGGAGTGGCATTCTCTATCTGCGTTGAATATAAATGAATTTCTTTTTGATTTGTCTATTTTGTGAATCTGTGACTTGGAATAACCTTATTTTTTTTGGAAAAAAATAATATTTTTTATTATTATAATTCTTTCTGAAATTGAAAATACTTTCTGAAATCATTTTCTACCTATTTATTTTATTTCGTATACAAATTCTCTTTGTAATTAATTTTGAATTTGACCTATACCTATATAAGATATTGAGAAGTATAAAAACTTATTCGTTTTATAAATATATAGGACAGGATAAAAAGATGTTACAGCCAGTAATGCATACGTTAAAGAATAAATTTATTGTACTGGCTAGCGGTTCTCCAAGACGAAAAGAACTTATCGAAAATATTGTGAGTACATTTTATTTTAGATTTTATTGCACCATTTATAAAAATAATAAAAGCAGTAAATTTTAATACGAAGAATACAAAAGACGTCCTTACCGCTAAGCAATCTCTTCCAAACAACTTTAGAATAATTAAGATTGTGTTTCACAAAAAGAGCTTCAATTGTGGTATAACCAGTTATTTTGACTTACAAATGAAACCTCTGAACTGATTTTGATAAAATTTCTGTGGGGTTAATCTGTATGTATATCCTTTCAAATAATAAAAAAAATTTCTAAATTGGTTTACAACTGCTTGAGTTATGAGGTAACAAACGTAAAAAATATAACCAAATTCAGAACCCCTTCTTTTTTAAATCAGTTGAAACAGTATGTAGAGCAGTATTATATGGATTTTTATTTATAGGTGATAATGAAATAGTAACCGTACCCGTGCTATCAGTGTACACTGGCAGGGCACCAGTGAAGTGATAGGTGAGGATGAAGCAGGTCAGTTAGCTCATTGTGATGATGAATTCAACGAGAATTGTTCACAATGGTTTCCAAGGGGAACCACGTGGAGGTTGACCTAATATTGCTAGCAATAGAGCTGTCAAACTCCATTGCTAACAATCCTCCCTCCCCCAGTATTATATGGTTACATATTATATATTATTAGATATGTTATTAGATCTGATCCTGTCTATTTATACCTATAATATTGTTATTACAGGGCTTAAAAGTCACTTTGTGTCCATCAACTTTCGAAGAGAATTTAAACCCAAAAGATTTCAAGAGTTTCTCTGCATTTGTTGAGGAAACTGCTCTTCAAAAGGTGCTGGAAGTTGATCGCAGACTGGCTCACGAGGGGAGACCGCCAGATGTAGTGATCGGTGCTGACACAATGGTCACTCTTGATGGCAACATGTTTGGGAAACCGACAAGTGAAGAAGAAGCATTCCAAATGCTGTCTAGGTGTGGTGTTTTATGTTTATATTTCACATTATACTTTATTTTCATTTCAACATGTTACAATTGATGACAGTAAAATAAGGGCAGGGCAACTGTAATAATGAAGGTAATATAGTGTAATCTATGTTTTTCATGTCTATTGGTAATGGTTACTACCGTTCATGTAATGGACTCGTTTGCCATTATAACTTGAAGCTAAAGAGGTTTGTTTGAATCAAAGCATTTGATGCTCCATTGTTTCTGCCTACTCTAATGGGAGACAGGTGTGACAGATATGTATGTATGAAAATGTTTCTCTAAAACAGTGGTTGGCTACCAGTTGCCCTCATCCTTACAGTCCTTGGCTTGTTTTGTAAATAGGAAATCTTATAAACCTAAAATTTAGATTATTAGACTACTATTAACAATTTCTATTAATTAATTTAATTTTTTTTTTGTTTTTTATTTAATTGATTACAACTTCATAAACAATAAATATTTTTTTATAAGTATAATCATCTTTGAAATTCTCATGTAAGCTTATAATTATTTTTCTTTATTTTTTAAACAAAATATTTTCATATTTTTGCTACCACTGATATAAGGATTAATTATCAATAATTATAGACAAGTGCAGGTCTGCTAAAAGGTAGCAAACCCTTGCTCTATGAAAAAGTTGTTGTTGTAGATTTTCTTACAGCATTTATTAATAAGTACTTATATTCTGATAACAATGTTTCATCAACCTTTCTATCCTCAAGGATATTATAAGAGGCTGCTAAGGAAACCCAGCACAATTACAGTAGTTAGTAAAAAGGTTTCTTTCTATAAATCTGAAAGTGAGTTTTTTTAGTTACATGCTTGTGTATTAATAGCTTAATTGTTATGAAATTTGATAAATACATTTAGGATGGATATGGGCATAAAATACTTTTTTCCCAGCCATGCAAATGATGTTGTGGGCATAGCTAGTCAATTCATAATTTTTATTGTAACTACTTTATGTTCCAGTCTCTCAGGCAGAGGTCACACAGTGTACACTGGAGTTGTTATCAAGGCCTTCGACAAAGTTGTCAAGTTCACAGAGAGTACTAATGTTTTCTTTGGAAATATTGATGAGAGTCAGATAAGGGCATACATTGCTACTGGGGAACCAATGTAAGAATTTTAAAACATATTTTCTTATTTTTGCTGTCTACCTTCACCTATGTGTGGAGACTTTGTACAAAAACGTTTGTTTAGGTACCTCTGTCTCATTTGTTTTTCAACCATAAAGCAGTTGTGTTTGCATGGCTGTGTTTCGGTTTGAAGGGTGGGATATGGTGTGAATTTACAGGGTACAGGGGAATAACACCTGAGTCCTCAGGAATGGCAATGCATGGGGGTATCATGGTGGAAACAGTATACTCTGTTATGTCCATGGTACTGCTCATGTCTATAGGCGATGGTTACCTACATAAAATAATAATTGTTACCTTTTTAATAGCTTTGCCTCTATTTTTTCATACCATATAGTTATCACTCTGGGGATTTGCCCTTGCCTCCCTTCCACTGTCCTCCTTGATCAAGCTCTTCTAATTGGTAGTACTTTATGAAAAAAAAAATTAAGGCACTGAGACAACAGAATAAAGTGCCAGATATAAAAATTCTTTTAGTGATGTATTTTGTAAACAATTTTGTAGGGATAAAGCCGGTGGTTACGGCATCCAAGGTGCCGGCGGCACATTGGTGGAGAGAATCGAAGGTGACTATTTCACTGTGGTTGGTTTGCCGCTCTATAGACTGTGTTCTACTCTCTATAATATGTTCAGAGATGGCGCCAGTGGTAGTTGATTAGAAAACTGGACAGATATTAGTTATTAAACTCCCTTAAAAAAATAAATGAAATGTGACGTGCATTATATAATCTAAGTAGGAGCATTATTTTTAGCAAAATCTATCTTTTACTAGTTTTTCTAATGATTGAGTAACATTAACACTACAATTCTTGTTATAGCTGGTTGGTAACATTAAAATCTCTTGAGATAGTACAAAATTATGTACATTCCGTGCATTTATTAGCAATGTAAAGGTACAATTTAAAATAAATGGAGATATCAGGCGATAAAAAAGGGTAAAAAATAAAGCAACCCAAGAATACAGGGGAGTTCCCCGCGATTTTCAAACAAGACTTGTTGGGAATTCCCCTGTATTTTTTTTTAAATAAGTTGCCATTATTAAAGTCGCGTTCTTAGAATGTGGTTTATTTGTATACCGAATGTGGGAGAAATTGTCACTAGTTCAATTTATAGTTTGTAAGTTAGAGTTCGAGGGGCGCCCTGAGTTTGGGGGTCCGGGGCACGGCCCTATCTAGTCCTCTGGTTACTGTACTTTTTAATGGGTGATAATGATATGGTAACCTCGGCTGCCCTATCGGTATACACTTGCAGGACACCAGTGAGACATGATAAATCAGGATGAAAAGGCAAGTCAGTTAGCCCATCCTGACGAATTCAACTAAAATTAACCAACGATGGTTTCCAGGAAGAACCACGTGGAGGTCGATCTGATATTGTATATTGTTAGTAATGGGGCTGTTTGACCCCATTACTAACAATCCCTTCCCCCTATTATTGTATTGTCATGACATAAAAATAATTAAACATTTTGGTTTAATGTTACAGTGATGTTATGGTTGTTTTGTTAGATTGTCATGTACTGGTCTGAAACATACACTTAGGTATGTTCATATTTGGTATACTGTAGTGTTTAAATTCTGTGATTATGTCCCTATATAATTTCATTGTTATATAATTAATATATAATTTAGATATTGTTGAGTTTTTATTAAACGTAAGTGACATATTGTTATGTTTTTTTTTCTATGAATCTATAAAAATAAGAATTGTAAGTAGCTATGTCATTTTTACCTCATTAAATGATAGCAATTCTATTGAGTTTTATTTTTAGCAATTTTTAGAAAGGTGGCGGTCATTTGTTTGAATTAAATATATAATTTACTTAAAGTCTCAGATATGATATAGGAAACTAGAAAAGGAATAGGCCTTATTTCCTCTTCACATTCGTAGGTGTGTACATTTTTATGGCTTCCTACCACAATATAGTTTTTTGGTAATAATAGCATAGATAATATTTTTTTCATTTTTTTTTTATTCGACTTAGAATGGTAAACAAGCTGACAGGCCACCTGATGGAAAGCGGTAACCGTCGCGTATAGACATGAACACTACCAGAGTTTTACCGTGAAGCTGTATAAGTACCGCAGGCTTTTGTATTAAGTTTCTTTCGTGATTTTTATTAAATTTAAAGGAGGAAAAAAATTGAAGTCACTTGTAAATATTAGGAATTTAGTTATGGATGTTAATGAATGTTAATAGTACATTTAATATCGGAGATTCAGTTGTGTTGAAAGAGTTGATATTCAGTAGAAAGAGGTGTAGAAACAAGTTGTTACTGCATAATCTATGGTTGCTCAAACGATCGTGAAGTGTGAAGCAAATTGCGACGACATTAGAGGGAACCATGTGGAAGTCGACCTGATTTGAGGGTAATTATTAGGGATTAGAGGCTGGCAATGGGTCAGTTTTTTTTTTAATGGGTGATAATGGAATGGTATCCCCACCCGCGCTATCGGTATACACCGGCGGGGCACCAGTGAAGGATGATAGGTGAGGATGAAGTAGGTCAGTTAGCCCATCGTGACGAATTCAACAAGAATTGTTCACGATGGTTTCCAGGGGGAACCACGTGGAGGTCGATCTAATAAGGCATATTGCTAGCAATGGGGCTGTCAAACTCCATTACTAACAATCCCTTTCCCCCCTGCAATGGGTCAGTTAGACCCCATTACTAACAATCCCTTCCCCTCAATATAGTTTAAGATTAGGATCACGGGGGCAAAATCCTATCTTACATTTTATTTTAAATAAACTTTATTTTATAATTTATCAATGCATACGGCCCGTCTGATGATTAACTGGCATCGCAACACATGATCTAATTTCCTCGATTTCCTCTATAATTCACTTATATTACATTTGTATAAAGAAATGATACGCTTCAGACAAAGACGTGATGTAAGTGATAATGATACGTTCTTTCATAACTGCGTTTTCTTCGGCAGTAAGTTCCTAGTTGAGTAATTGCATACTAAGTATTTTCCGTACGCCATTGTATGAACACAGCGGTGTGCTCGTTTCCATCTACGTGTAATATATGTCGCGGAAGCACGCGTTATGCGTATAGGAAAATAATGTTTTTACAGCAAACTGTAGCTGTTTTTTATTGGGTGATAATGGAATGGTAACCCCGCCTGCGCTATCGGAGTACGCTGGCGGGTCACCAGTGAAGGATGATAATGAAAAAATGTTGGTTAATTCTAGTGGAATTTGTCACGATGGACTAACTGACCTGCTTTCGTCGTCACCTATCCCTCACTGGTGCCCCGCCAGCGTAAACCGATAGCGCAGGCGGGGTTACCATTCCAATATCATCCATTAAAAAAAAAAAAAAGTATTCTGTATTGGTTAAAATATTATATACATAATTTAAATTCTAATTGAAATTTAAATAAACATTGTCATTTAATGTATTACCATATATACATATATACCATATATAAGTATGTATACCCATATTCGTGCAATAAATTATTTGAATAAAAATTTACATAAAATTTGGTTTATTTTTTACATCTTACTTCCTTTTTTATATAAGAATACTTGAGAAGCGACAAAAAAGTGAAATTTAAAAGATTTAAAAATCTGATTACACAATGCGATATACAAAATATCATATTAAAAAAAAAAAACAGCTGAGCGGTTTCAGAAATTATGGTCAACGACCTTCCTACAGTACCACGAGTACAAAATTTCAGTGATTACATGTTATTAAAATTATATAAACTACTTACATTATATAGATAGTTTTTTTTTTGATGGGTGAAAATGGTATGGTAACTCCGCCTGCGCTAACGGGATACGCTGGCGGAGCACCAGTGAAGGGGGATAGATGAGAATGAAAACAGGCCAGTTAGCCCATCATGATGAATTCATCAGGAATTAAGCATGATAGTTTCCAGGGGAAACCGCGAGGAGGTCGACCTGGTTGGGTATATTGCTAGCAATGGGATTCTCAGTCTCCTTTACTAACAATCCCTTTCCCCGCTATATAGATAGAGTGTCTCCATAGAAATGCTTCGAGAAAAACGGATCAACTTTTTCGATACGTTTTTGCGTGATAGTCATGAGTGACTCATTTCTAACTTCTATATTTACTTTGTCTCATAAATTCTGCATTATTTTAATGAGTAAATACTCATTTTACTTATTAAATATTACATCAAGATTTTATGCGTAAGTATATAGAATATTAATAGAAAAAAAAAACGAGTCAGCTAATTTGACAAAAAGTTGACCCGTTTTTGAGGCTCGATGCTCTATCTATGTAATTTTAAATTAATATAAAGTATACGGAATCCCAGCCTGGAATCCCATTCCTTAGCCTCATTATTTTTTTTCACGCGTGTGAGAGCGGCGCTGCGCTGCGCCGACAGCGTGATGCCACTTGTCTGTTGTCATAAAAACTCCATTGTGATCTGTGGGAACTAGTATTTGCCACCTGCTTTGGCTGAATGCATTTTGCTAAATACCGTTCAAATGTTCACATCGCGTTTGGAACACGCCCCCGTAGCCTTTTTATGTCTAGAAATATGTATTTATCAAATATAGACAATATTTTCTGAGACTTTTTTTATGGAATGGTGCTTCCGCTTATGTTAACAGCATAGTTAATGACGGGGCATCAGTGGAGGATGAATTGATGAGATTGAAGACAGGTCATTTAGCCCGTCATGGAAAACTTGTTACAAATTAACCATGATGGTTTCCAAGGGAGACCGTGTGGAGGTCGACCTGATAGGGTATATTACTAGCATTGTTTCTTCGACCTTTTTTTTGAGACTGTATGTGTGTCTATTGTAGATTACGGGAATATTAGGTAGATAGTTACTGGTTTTTTTTATACAACTTATAATGGCAAACAAGCTGACGGCCCACCTGATGGAAAGTAGTAACCGTCGCCTATAGACATGAGCAGTACCGTGGACATAACAGAGTATACTGTTTCGCCCATGATACCCCTTATGCGTTGCCATTCCTAAGGACTCAGGTGTTATTCCTCTGTACCCAGTAAATTCACGCCATATCCCACCCTTCAAACCGAAACACAGCCATGCAAACACAGCTGCTTCACGGTTGAAACACGAGTAGGACAGAGGTACCCAAGCAATCGACTTTTGTACAAAGTCTCCCTCTGGTAAACTACTATAGAAAATTTCTTTTTAATTAAAGCCTTATTGATTATGTTGATTATTTATTATTTTTTTTATTTATTTCCAAGAAGCATGGTAAGTGTATAGATGTTACAATAATTATAAGTCCTCATATTTCGCCATAATTAGGCATGCAAATATTAAAAAGAATAAATGTTAAACGAGTCATTAAAATTCGAAATGTTATATAAAAAAAATACATCAAAAATGTCAGACACTTGTCAACAATAAAAAAAGAAAGAAAGAAATGTTTTTAATATTATTTTCGAAAGGTCATGTAGATCACTGTAAGTTAGACAAAGTAATTTAGCTAGGGTTGTCTCAAACCTTATATGTACAATCACGGATGTCTTTAACCTATAATTTCAATTGCAAGTGATTTTACACATCACTGGTATTTTGTTATTGCATTAGTAATTATTGAGAATTAATTGAGGTCGAATGGACTTCCACAAAAACACTTCCGACTCGATTAGACAATAGGAAAAAAGTGCTACCCATATCCGAGATTGGATGCGATCGGTGTGGGAAACGCGGACAGATGCGCGGCTGGAGACTTGCACCGGATTTCGTACTGGCACCATGTGTTCCCAGCATCCAAGGTAGTGTTGTATTGATATCGATAATATATTAGCGATAATATATATATATATATATATATATATATATATATATATATATATATATATATATATATATATTATATATATATATATAAAAATCTTAATAATTTTGATTCCAAAACTACTAAATTCATTTTGATAAAATTCCTGTCTGAAAGTTTATCCTTTTAGATAAAAAAAAATCCTAATCTAAAATTTAAGGTGTTTTCGGTTAATTCGAAATATACCTAAAAACAAATAAAACTCATGCCAGAGTTATATAAAGAAATATATAACATAAAAATACAACCGAAAGGAGAACACGCACGTTTTGCGACACGTGTTTCACCTTTAAACGAGTTATCTTTGGGTAAATTAATTAATTAACTTGCCAGAATAAAATAATGCCAATTACCTACTCAATTAATATGTTTTTAAATATTATATTTTGTAAACATCCAGTTATGAATAAAATAATAGGAGATTGAATAAATTACAATAATATTAATAACAGTATACTCTGTTATGTACATGGTACTGCTCGTGTCTATAGGCGACGGTTACCGCTTTCTATCAGGTGGGCCGTCAGATTGTTTGCCATTCAAAATTGCATACAAAAAAATTAAAAAGCATGTCGATATTGCATTAAAATCCCTATTGGCATTGGGTAGTAGGTATAAAAAACAATAAAATGTTGTAATATGAAGTAAGTAACCTCACAATATCACGTTTGTATTGCCCGCGGGGGACACAGTATGGTCACAGTCCGAATATTTTGTGCAAAAGCCGATTGCTTGGGTACCTCTGTCCCATTCGTGTTTCAACCGTGAAGCAGCTGTGTTTGCATGGCTGTGTTACGGTTTGAAGGGTGGGATATGGCGTGAATTTACTGGGTACAGAGGAATAACACCTGAGTCCTCAGGAATGGCAACGCATGGCATGCAGTATCATGGGCGAAACAGTATACTCTGTTATGTGCATGGTACTGCTCATGTCT